AAATAGGTGAGATAGGTTGGTAGGACACCTTCTCAGGCATGAAGGTCTAGTCAGAGACATATTAGAGGCAGAAACGGGAGTTAGGAGGGGTAGAGGTTGACCTAGATTAGATTACTGTTCGCAAATAGTTAAGGATGTAGGATGTTCTAGTTTTAGGAAAACGCGAAGATTAGCTCGGGGTAGGCAAGAGTGGAGGTGCGTGTCCAACCAGTCTTAGGACTGACGACCTTAATAATGGTATGCGTTTGAAATTATTGTAAATACTAGTGAAATTATAACTGAACGGAAAAAAGTTGTTATATGATTACAATTATGATAGAATAATTTGACATATATGATCTGAACAGGGCTTGGGAAAAAAATGTTATGTCGTCCCTTTGTATGCCTAGGATTATAAGGATATCTAAAAAAATATTGGAAGTTTGAAACAAAATATTTCTCATTCGTGGAAGGCCAAATTAAAAAAACGGTTGGTAATTTTTTACATTAGAAGACACTGGAATTGAGACTTGAAGTTTAGTGAGGTAGGTAGTACTCATCAAGTAAAGTAGTGCAGTAGTATTTAGTAGATGTTTGTTTATTATTTGTTTAAAAATCAATGTGACTGAAGATACAGGCTCTTAAAGTTTTCTTAACCGAAGGAAATTCCGGTAAGTACGGCCCTGGCTTCAGCCTTCCGTCAGCTGTTCCCGCCAAACATCGTTTGTCCTAACAGATATTTGGCGACAACAGCTGACGAAGGGCTGCAGCCAGGGTCGTACCAACCGGAATTTCCTCAAATCAAGAAAACTTTGGGAGCCTGTATCTCAAGCTAGATTGTTTTCCGCATGGATTTAATACTACCCCACGATTCTACTTGGTGAATACTACCTACCTGACTAAACTTCAAGTCTCAATTCCAATGTCAACTAATGGAAAAAATGACCAAACGGTTTTTTCCCATACCAAAAATCAATTTTTTGCCCTAATTTCCACAATTTTCCATTTTGTTTGTACCAATTTATCCTAAGGGGATCGTAGTACCCTCCCTATAGTACGGACTACTCTTCAACGTTATAAATATGTTATATACAGGTCGTCTAATTACCATGTAATCGTATTCCTCGCTGCTGCAAATATAATAAGCGCTGAGCTGATAACAATTAGGACACTTCTAAGCGACGATAAAATATTTGTGTTTTGTTGAATGTTTTGAACGTTGTCGTTAGAATTACGCCTTTTAGTCGGCGTGACTTCTCCCGACGAGGATGATTCATAATCCTCGTAATCTCCCAACATCTTTGCTCCTGGAAACAAAGCGAAATCATTAATTATCTACATTGAAATATTCTATTGTTCTGGATAAATAAAAATTAATAAACACTTTAATGTTTCTACGCACAAATAGCAATAACTTAAATTCATTACTTATTAGTAGGCAGTTATTGTTAGCCGTTTAAATTAAATTTCACCGGAGGGAGCGGCAAAACCTGTGGTAAACTGAAACACATATTAGTGGAAAATTGACTCAACATTAGGGTTATTCGACATTCATCAAAGGGTAGTATCGAAAATCGGTAAACTTTTTTGCTTTACCTGTAAACTGTCTTCAAAGGTTTTCAATTGCATTTATTGGATATGGATTTTGTTTATTATTTATATGATAAGATGACTGAAAGTATTTGTACGAATTTTCCTGTATCACGTCGTATATTCAAGAGATGATTCTGCCCTTTGATGATTACCGAATTCGGATCGTAATTAACCAGTAGTCTATATGCAAAATGATTTTTTCCATGTATAATTTAATATACATATATGTATTCTATATTTCTCGACCAATGTAGATTAAATTTTAGGAATAATTGCTTTGTATGGGATGTCAATATGCTGGAAATCAGTTAAGACTAAAATTATAATCGCCAATGTCAATGATTTACCTTGAACTCTGCAAAATGACGTTGTCTTTCTCGACAATTTTTCCTATTTTCTCAAATAAAAAGCAAAATATTACAATTATCTGCAAAGAAAAAACCTCAAAGCAAAAGACAAATTTGATTTGTCGTACTTGACAGTGACATACTTGAATTAAACCTTTGCACTTAATAGTTTCAAGGCTAGTTACGATTAATTTAGTAAGTATTTGTTGTACATTATCCAGTTTATTGTTTAATAATTGCAATGCAAAATTACTGTTTGAACTTTGAACACTCGTGCATACAAAGTTTAACTATAACTACCCTTTCTTGGCATTAATTTTATTTATTTTATCTAACTTAAGTTTGGGGGCATCTAAATTTTATGTAAATTTTAGTAGCCGGATGGTGAGTGCTACCTACCTGACTAAACTTCATGTCTCAATTCCGATGTCAACTACTGTAAAAACGGACCGAATATTTTAATAAATAATGTAGACAGGCGTATATAATTAATCTGAGTGGAATATGTAATATATGCATAAGTGATAGTAAAGTACGTAATGAGTACAAGTACTTATTGACTCCTACCTGTTGAATACTGCTTCTCCGACTGTTGCTCTTGATTCCAGAGTCTTTCCGGCTGTTGTACGAAAGTGCCATGCTGAGTTGATCGTTTTCCATGTTGGTAAAAATTTTGTTAGGCACATCGAGTGTCCGGCTCGATTTTGTAGGCTGGTTGGGCGCGGTAACGGTGGCACTACGCGTCCTTTCAATTGGAGGCAACATAACCTCGAAATTCGGGGATTTCCCCCTACGCGACCTGTTACTACCCGCACGGCTCAATATCGCGAATTCGTTAGGAGATCTACCGCACTGAGATCGATAACTTCCCGATCGCATAAAACTCGTAAATTCGCTCGCGGTGTAATCAATGTCGGACCTCGATTGACTTATATACGACTTCACGTCTATGGTGTCTTTTGGATCTTCAAAAAATATGCTACTGAGTTTATCTTCCTCGTTAGTACTCAAGTTACTGCACGATCCTTTGCTTCGTGTTATGATGGGCATTTCAGGTACTTGAAGGTTGTTATCAGCTTCGATTATTGTAGGAACTTGCTGATAGCCGCAGGTGGCCACGGTGGAGATGTTCAGGTTGCTGTGTGATTGACTGTTCGCGTCATTCGTGCCCAGTTTATTTTGGTCCGATTTCCTGAGAAAGTTCGGTATCTTCCACGACGTTTTGAGTTTCATCGAGTGTCTTCCTGAGCTCGTCGTTGACGTTGGGGTTTTGATCGCTTCGTTGCCATTTGTTTCGATCTTTTCCACTTCCAGTTCTTGCTCGTCGAGAATGCTGGGCAGGCTGCTTGCTTTGATCTTACAGACGTCAGGAGATAGGGTGTTGCCACTGTAGGAGCCTTTAGCAGCCGAATTGTCACAGGAGAGAACTCTTGGTCGGGTCTGGGGAGACATGGAATGAGGCGACGTCGGTGGAGACACGACAAGCTGCAGCGAGTTATTTGGAATCGAATTCTCCTGTTTCTTCAATCNAAACCTGTTATTAAAATGTTAGGAAAAAAATGTTAAAAAATTGATTTCAATAACAAAGAGAGGTCGATCGTTTGGAAATAGGTAATTCCTATTGACAATAAACATGTACCTGCCTACCAAATGATTGTACTCACCAGTTGTGAAAAAGTCAACCCTTATATCACGATTTGGTAGTTTGTTTGTTCACATAAACGTATTTACATTTTCATAACACTGTCCAAATTTATTGGCATATACAACCGTATGTACATGTATATCGACATCAATATTTTGTACGAGAAAACTAATTAAAAGTAAAAGCCATCTGTCGAAAAGTTCAGAAAATGCCAGAACTCATTTGTGTTGTACTGTTTTCCTGGGTTTTCCGTGGGAAATTGCGTGTCCAAGTTTTGTTGCTCTGCGCTAGATGGTGTCCCATGTATTATTTATCCACATTTTAAACAAAGCATAAATGCAATGCTTTTTGTTTTAAATCTTACTTTTACGAGAAATTTTGTATCAGAATTTCTCGTTAATTTTCCCTTTATGAGAAGAGACATTAAATTACTTGCATTGATTATTAAAATTGTCATTTTAATTCATCAAAGCTTCTGTAGTATTGTGCGATTTTTTTTTATTTAATTTTTCCAAGTTGTTTCTATAAGTGTTACGCTCCTCTATTTTGGATATGAACTTATTTAATTAATCTTTAGAAAGATAACATAAATAATATAATTATTTTCTTCATTCTTGTACAAATGCAGGAAGCTCATTTTTAGTCTCAATCCTACATGAGCTTTTATTGAATAAAACTTCTAACAGTTCTAACAAATTTGTTTTCAAAATCGTCTGATCCATTCATGATCATCACGAGTGGCTATCTACTGTTATTAAACAGCTGATTGTCCATTTATTGTTACCTACATGTTATACCTTTGTGCATAGTTTAATTTAATAAATAATGATCGAGTGGTTGAATATCTCTGGTAACAATTCCTTGTTATCAATATTTATTCGGGACCGCCGACATGTTTATACAAGATTAGCGAACTATTGAAACAGTTTATTGTGGAAGATGGACTATATTAAATTAAAATATTGTATTATTCAGATTACAGGTCACATACACATTGAAGGCACTTTTACTTGATTAGACAAAACATTTACATACATAATATTCCTTTTTTTTATGTATAGCTATCAATATATATGCAATTATTTACAACAGACAGTAAATGCTTCTTATATTAGTAAATATGTAGTAAAGCTAACATTAGACTTGGTCAGGTGTTCGTGTAAAGGTGCACATACGCCTGTTCGTGAGCATGAATACGTTCGAGACAAGGCGAGCCAGAACATATTCAAATCAAATTCTTTTTGTTTGAAATTGTCGTACCGCCTCGACTTGCCTCGATCGTGTTCGTGTTCAGATGCATACTCAACTTAATTAATCTGTGTATGTGTTTATGTATATTAGTACTTAATACAAGCAGCGATTTTTTTAACAAATTGAAAACGAAACAAGAACTAGGAACTTCTCATCGAAAGATATTTTATTATTAAAGCTATTTCGCAATATCATTTATAATCTACGTTATTAAAACTTAATCACAAGTGGTCCACGAATATGGTCAGGTATAACTGGGGCCTTTACTTCGATAATATTTGCTGGTACCATTTGGTTTGACATAGGTTTTCAAATATTTTTCTAGAGTCAACTGAAAGTTTCAATTCAAATAACACAAAACAAAAAAGTTCAAAGGACAAAAGGAAGACAGCCATAAAAAACCAAGACAATGAATAATTAAAATAATTGGATAGGATAATTAAATACCTTGAAAAAGTCCCACACAATGGGCGAAACGTTGGTAAATTGTTTTCTCAATAAAATGCTTCTACAACCCCTAACCTTTTTTTATTTAAACGTTTTTATGTGAAATTTTGGGTTCACTTCAGTTCCCCTATTGAAATATTACGTAATTTATGTATGGAACCTTTTAATTTAGTAAATTTCCTAGACGTGGGACATAATGGGAAACATTAGATATTAATTGGGAATTTTTTATGACCATTACAAGTAACTATAAATTTTGATTATTTTTTAAAGTAAAAACCCCATTTGAAACGCATCGTCACAACATAACCAAAAACTAGCTGCTAATTGTTCAGTTTTTGCCTTAAGCTATCACCAACACAGAGAACAAAATGTCTAACACAAAATCTGCATTGCATTTGGTTTTGTTGTGATTACACATTAATTTTAGCATACATTAAAAGCTAAAACATTTTTATTTATTATCACATGAAAAGTAGGTTTATTCAATGCCCTCTATACAATAACAACAAAAAATTGCTAAACATCCAGTAGATCACTAAAATTTTGCGATTTTCAATATTACAAATGCGAAAGTGACTTATTAATTAAATTAAATAAACTTAATAATATTTACTTTTACAATATACAATATAAATTATAATAATAATAAAAATGGCACTTGGCAATAAACATATTACATATTACAGTAAAGTCTTTACAATATAATGAACCTATTGCTTTTTCTAAATATTCTTCCTACGCCAATGGTTGAAATAAATAATATAATTATATACAACGATTATGAAACGTAATATTAAACAATTATTACTATATTACAAATGTAGTATAATAATAAGTAAAAGGTTTATTTTTACACGTTTCGAAATGACTATAAACAACACACAATCGTCTCTAACAACAAAGCAACAAGGAACAAATGAAAATAAATATTTGTTTAACAGAGTTTAGAATTTCTACCGAAGCCAAAAGGCGTACAAACATCATTTTTAGATAACAACGAAACAACGCACCATTTTTTTTACAAATGTATGAAAATTGAGTGCTGTACCGAATAGGGGGGCTCCCCTGATCCGGGATAAAAAAGTAAAGGTCTAGATGATGACCCCCACGCCCGAAGGGGGGGGGTAGAAAGAGGAGGTCTCCCCACCACTGTACCATAAAAAGTTCGTGGCGGTTCAAAGTTAATAAATATGCCAATTTTTATACATTTCTAGGCATGTAAATATTTATATAATCATTCTTAAACAATATCCAAAGGTAAAACTAATGAAAAATACATAAAAATATTGAGAAAGTTATATAAAACATTATTTAAATATCTTTATCAATAGGGTAGGTTAGGTTAGGTTAGGTTATCGGGTTTTGTTCAAGTGACCACCCTCTTTCGAACCCCCTTACCTCCAGCCGCTTGAAAATATTTTTTTTATTGAATTTTATTTGAATTATAGTGTATGAAAATTGTCAAAATAATCAACTTTCAACCCCTATAACATTTTAAGGGGGCGAGACCGCCGCAAATTTTTTATGGGGTTTTACTCAGGTGACCAACCTCTTTCGATCCACCCTACTCCCACCCCCATCCAACCCCCATAACTTTATGAGACCGCCACGAACTTGTTATGGTACAATGGTGGGGGAGACCTCCTCTTTCGATCCCACCCACCCCCACCCCCGACATCTAGACATTTACCAATTGTCGAATCTGGGGTGCCCCTAAACGGAAATTTTCCGAAAATTTTAATTTGAAGCCATATAAAAACTGAATTGAAAAAAAAAAAGAAAAGCAAAGTGGAATGAAAACTGCTGGTCAAATTTTCTGTAATCATTTATTAAAAGGTAATTGTTTCAATTTTCCTCTTTGCTCTCTCAGCAAGAGAAGTGAGCTCGCTCGTTAATGGAAAAAAAGGATACAAACCATTATCACCAATTCAAGGACTATTTGAGTATTTTCCACTTGAATGTCAAGAGCACTTAAAGCATTTCCAACATTAGACGAAATAGCGGTGTCATTAAAAATAGCGCGATGGCAGTTATTTTTAGAAAATTTCCAAATACGGGGTGTTTAGTTTACGTCGTGCGCGCCTGCTAATATATTATTGTTGTTTAATTATTTTAATAAATGTATAAAACAAACGGTTAATTCAGCAGCCATATTTCAAGTATGTACACAACACACTGACTTTCGTGCAGGACCGGACTTGGTCTTAAATTTTGTCCGGTCCCTAAGGTGTTTATATTTTGAGAAAGACCAGTGTTCTTATTGTCGTTATCAAAGCCAAAATAGATTTTGTAAAAGTTTACATCTATAAGCTATTTTTACATACATATATATGTAGAAAAGGAAGGGTGGTATTTTGTTCGTCGCGTTATAATAAGTTCTACTCTTTAACTAATTTATTAATCAAACGCTTTTCGTCGTTCTCATAATAAAAATTTCAAAGCGGTATTTCCCGTAAATAAATATCAGATCCCTAATTTCGTCTAGTTTATTTTTAACTTCAAAGAGCAAGGAAATATTATAGAAATATTTCAAATGTGAAGTATAGTCTTGCATCTGTTTTCTTTTTTACAGAACATATATATTTATTTACAAAAATACGTGTCAGTTCGAATAATTTTTCTTTTTATGAATTATTAAAGATAAATGTTAAATTTTTGTAATGTAGAAGAAGAAAATTGAATTCGTATCAAATCATTTAACAATACGTACATGCAAAAATTTTAATTACCTACTAAAGCAATAGAGTAATTATTTATTTTAAGGGGTAATCATTTATAAATGATCTGTGTTCTATGTTTTATTTTTAATAGAATGCAAATATATTACTGTTAGCTTTACGGATTTAGTGTCGAACATTATCGATTATATCGATGAAGATCTGAATTCAATCGCTGTAATTGTGTATTTGAATATTTGTAAAAGTACCTTAGACAAAATAGCACCAGTTCCAAATTTACTGTGTCGTATAAATACCTACAAAAAACAATTACTGAAGAATTCGTTAACAAGCGGGTGTATTTGTTAAAAATCAACACAAGTTTGTACTTTCTATTAGGCAAGACGTGGCACACCGATTAGTGTTTTGATTAAATTGGCGGCCTCGTTTTCAAAACTGAGATTTTCCATATATTTTTGAACCTTTACAATGCTATACTAATTAGACCAAACAGTTATTAATACTTTTCGGTTCTTATGGAAGGTTCAACCTCATTGATGGAATGTCAAATGAATAATTAAACAGTTTTCTTATTATCTTCTTGTCATTCGTTATTATCTGTAGCAGTGTCATCCAGTTTCCCTTTCAACAAGTACACGTTCATGTTATCTTTTCCTTTGACGTAGATGCATCCTCTCTTTTCGAACTCGTACTTCTTCTCCAAAATCTCCAGGCAATGTTCTCCCACTTGTATCCTGCCGTTGACTCCTGTCGAATCCATTCGTGAAGCTATATTGACGGCATCGCCCCAAATGTCGTAGTACAACTTTGTGTTGCCAATGACTGCCGCCGTGACATCTCCGAAATTGTAACCTATTCGTAAGATGAGGTTGAACTCCAGGAGATCTCTGTTGAAGTTTTCGATGACGTTTTGCATGGCAAGCGCGAAATCCATGAGCGCGTAAAGGTGCTCGTTGGGGTCTTCTTGTTCCAGTCGCATCGTTGAGTTTAGGCCGCTTGCTGCCATAAAAGTGCTGCCTATTGTTTTGATTTTTTCTACACTTTTGAATTCTGGAAGCGTCAAGAGTTCGTCAAAATCCCCGATGAGTTCGTTGAGGACTCGTAGAAATTCTTTGCCACCGAGGTAACTCTCGTCGTACATTTCGTTGAAATTAACTATGCTAGCGAATATTATGGCGGCATTTTTGACATTCTCTGAGTATTTGGCGTTCTTTTTAAGCTGCTCGGCCACGTGTTCCGGAACGATGTTGTATATCAACCAATCGGCTTGGTTTTTCAATCGTTGCACATGGGCCTTGTCACGGTTTGCTACAAAACTCGTGTGAAAACTGAGACGGTAGCAAATTTCGAACTCCCTGTTTAGGAACCACACCAAAATGAGTAACAGAAGTACCACCATAAGGATTTCCGAATCGTAGAGGTACTTGTCCACTGTTTCTACATCGTCGGACGAAGTTTCGTTGTTGATGGACACGCTTCTCGTCTTCAAAATGGTTTGGATCGTACTGGGACAAAAGTCACTGAATATTAGTAGGACAAATATCAAACTGAAGAGTGTAGCAAGAACATTTTTCATCCAACAGTTCAATTGGGTGAAGTTACAGAAGTGCACGATACCAACAAATAGCAGATAACTGTAGAGGTAGTCTTCGTGTTTTGACGTGGATATTGTCCTGGGGCACGAGAAATTGCATAGGATCGAGACGAGTGGGAGGCTGACAAGAAGTCCTCCGAAAGCGTTCCACCGGTACCATCGTGGAAAAAACGAAAAGAATTTCTCCGAAAATAACGAGATCCTCTTGAAACACAACGCAATCGCACAAATTTGAGCAAAAACGAAAATCCCAAACGCACTCAACCACAGAGGTGTAGGTTGATAAAGTAGAAACAGACAAAACGAGATCACTGAAAACACGACAAACGAAAAAAAGACATCTAGGTACGTGTTAAATCGCGAATTAGCCAATGTCGGCACCGACTCGCAGTCCGTGTTCGAGTGGACGTTTTTTCGGTATTCTTGTTCCATTTTGTCGTTCTCGAAGAAGAGGGTGAGTTTGGACAGAGGTGGTTTGATGAAATACGACCTTTCAGACTCGGAATTCTTTTGAACACACTTGATTAGTTGCAAGTCGGATTGTTTGCGAATATGGTTTATACCAGAACCGTATTTTTCATAGAAAGGACAGGGTAATCTTGGCATGTTAGGATAATGGGAGTGATTGATGCTACACTGACTAGATGTAAAGTAGCCGGAAAGACGGTGGTGTGGACTCTCCGACCTTGGAAGCTGATGCTCGATCTGAAACAAGAAGTAGTACCTATTGGTACTTATACAATGCATTGTTACAGTTCACCAATTGCAGCCAATTACTGAACACACTAAGGTTTATCAAAGCAAATTGCAGCGACGTATGAAGAGTCTGTTCAATGAAAATACATCAAGCAAAATTATTTACAAAATGGATGCATGGGTATAACTCATTGATCTTTGATCGTTTTATCATGAATATACCATTGCTAGGGATTTTAGTTTTCTTTGAAATATTTATTAATTGTAAGGGTACCTACCAAATTAATAATACTTTACAATTTTGAATATTTGGTAATTTTTTACATTAGTTGACATTGGAATCGAGACATGAAGTTTATGGAGGTAGGTAGTACTCACCAAGTAAAGTAGTGTAGTAGTATTTATTAGAATTTTGTTTATTATTTGTTTAAAAATCAATGTGACTGAGATACAGGCTCTTAAAGTTTTCTTAATCGGAGGAAATTCCGGTAGGTACGGCCCTGACTTCAGCTTTCCGTCAGCTGTTCCCGCCAAACATCGTTTGTCTTAAAACATATCCTCCTAACATTATTCTAATATATCAGGGGCAGGGGCATTAAAGAAACTCGAGTCTGTCATACATCTACCTAAGTAAACAATGACGTCATCAATGCATACTTGGCTAGAACAGCTGACGAAGGGCTGCAGCCAGGGCTGTACCAACCGGAATTTCCTCCAATTAAGAAAACTTTAGGAGCCTGTATCTCAAGCTACATTGGTTTCCGCATGGAATTAATAGTACCTACCACACGATATTCTACTTGGTGAGTGCTACCTACCTGACTAAACTTCATGTCTCAATTCCGATGTCAACTACTGTAAAAACGGACCGAATATTTTAATAAATAATGTAGACAGGCGTATATAATTAATCTGAGTGGAATATGTAATATATGCATAAGTGATAGTAAAGTACGTAATGAGTACAAGTACTTATTGACTCCTACCTGTTGAATACTGCTTCTCCGACTGTTGCTCTTGATTCCAGAGTCTTTCCGGCTGTTGTACGAAAGTGCCATGCTGAGTTGATCGTTTTCCATGTTGGTAAAAATTTTGTTAGGCACATCGAGTGTCCGGCTCGATTTTGTAGGCTGGTTGGGCGCGGTAACGGTGGCACTACGCGTCCTTTCAATTGGAGGCAACATAACCTCGAAATTCGGGGATTTCCCCCTACGCGACCTGTTACTACCCGCACGGCTCAATATCGCGAATTCGTTAGGAGATCTACCGCACTGAGATCGATAACTTCCCGATCGCATAAAACTCGTAAATTCGCTCGCGGTGTAATCAATGTCGGACCTCGATTGACTTATATACGACTTCACGTCTATGGTGTCTTTTGGATCTTCAAAAAATATGCTACTGAGTTTATCTTCCTCGTTAGTACTCAAGTTACTGCACGATCCTTTGCTTCGTGTTATGATGGGCATTTCAGGTACTTGAAGGTTGTTATCAGCTTCGATTATTGTAGGAACTTGCTGATAGCCGCAGGTGGCCACGGTGGAGATGTTCAGGTTGCTGTGTGATTGACTGTTCGCGTCATTCGTGCCCAGTTTATTTTGGTCCGATTTCCTGAGAAAGTTCGGTATCTTCCACGACGTTTTGAGTTTCATCGAGTGTCTTCCTGAGCTCGTCGTTGACGTTGGGGTTTTGATCGCTTCGTTGCCATTTGTTTCGATCTTTTCCACTTCCAGTTCTTGCTCGTCGAGAATGCTGGGCAGGCTGCTTGCTTTGATCTTACAGACGTCAGGAGATAGGGTGTTGCCACTGTAGGAGCCTTTAGCAGCCGAATTGTCACAGGAGAGAACTCTTGGTCGGGTCTGGGGAGACATGGAATGAGGCGACGTCGGTGGAGACACGACAAGCTGCAGCGAGTTATTTGGAATCGAATTCTCCTTTTTCTTCAATCTGTAGCTGTCGCAATAGGACAAGGGACGGTCTAGTTTCTTTCCGAGGATGAAATAAGTTTTCAGGCCTAAACAAATATGTATAGTTAAGGCTTAAAGTTAATTCTTAAAAACTTTGGATACTGGTACGTTTATGTAGAATTGCAAGTATATATCAAAGAATTTGTCAGTAGATAAGACAGTTGTATTAATAGATTTCTCTAGTATATTATTCATTTATTGTTCGGGGAATAACTGTTAAAATTTATAAAATATTTTCCATATCAGTGTTGACGTTACTAACATACATTCTTTTGGTTTTATAATGCATGATTTTGGAGACGACATATACTTTAAATTTGTTGAAATGTCACCTTATTACCACATAAAAAGTTATTCGTGTTTTATATTCATATACATTAGTTGTATCATAAAGTTGTGGCCTGTTTTGGTAATTAACCTTCCTGGTAATAATAATAATAATTAGATACACGTGTTAATCATTACAACGGTACCTTAACATCATGATACGAAACTTTTTGTTTTAGGAGCACTACTAAAAAGTTGCATTACTTTGGTGTAAAAATAAAACTTGTGATAGTGATAATTACGTTGTTATCGTATAATAAAAGGTCAGTTTATTTTCAGAAGCTTATAAAACCTTTAAAAATTGTTTTAAATTTTTGTAATAAAAATAATTTCGTTCTCCAATTTTGCAAATATGGTGTTCCTATCAAAGATATTTTTTATTCCTACATGCAATTCCTTTAAATATGGTGTTGTAGAATTGCAAAAATACAGTAGAATCCGCTTAGAATGACATCGAAGGGAAATGACAAACACGTCATACTAAGCGGGCGTCATACATAGCATAGTCTTAGGAAATAAACAATTTTCTATTTTGGTTAGTTATTTAGTTTAATAGATAGAAAAACTACAAATTATATTTATTAACAGAAAAAGAAAAAGAACAATGAATTGTAATATCAAAATACAATAAGAAGGGTCAGAAAAATGAGCGAAAATGTTATTATTAATCATTTGGGTCACTATAGCCGGATATGATTTCTTGAAAATCAGTCATAATAAACGATGTCATTTNTAGAAAAGGTTAGAAATGAAGAGGTATTGGAAAGAATAGGAGAACAGAGGACTCTATGGAAGTCAATAAAAAATAGGCGAGATAGGTTGGTAGGACACCTTCCCAGGCATGAAGGTCTAGTCAAAGACGTATTAGAGGCAGAAACAGTAGTTAGGAGGGGTAAAGGTAGACCTAGATTAGATTACTGTTCGCAAATAGTTAAGGATGTGGGCTGTTCTACAGTTTTAGGGAAATGCGAAGTTTAGCTAAGGATAGAAAAGAGTGGAGGTACGTGACCAACCAGTCTTAAGACTGGCGACCTTATGATGATGATGATGATGATGATAAGAAAGGTCAGAAAAATGAGCGAAAATGTTATTATTAATCATTTGGATCGCTATAGCCGGATATGATTTCTTGAGAATCAGTCATAATAAACGATATGTCATTTTAACGTAGTCATTATATCCAAACTTTCCTTTAGAAAATTTAATATGAAAACCAAACTTAACACTGCAATAACTTCATATTAAGCGGTTGGTCAATATAGGCGGAGTCATAATAAACGAATTCCTTTGTACAAATTCCAGTGGTGTAGAAATTGTTTTTAAAATGATGATTTCTTTGTGGTTCTGTACCAAAAGGGTGCCGTTATAGTTTAAAGTTTTATGTTCCATTTGAATTATTTGTGTTTTTGGGCTTTTATATCACAACACTTGTTGAATTTTATTAAAAAGCTATATGTAGTAAGTAACGGTTGACAAATCCTTGAATCACGTTTTGTATCGTGGTGTAAAATTAAAATTGTTCAAAATGAAAAAATTAACAGGGGTATTTTCGAGGTTAATCGCGTGTTTATCAATATTATCGCATTGACCGATGTTAAAATAGAATATTGTGATGCAATTTAATTAGTACATGTAAACAGGAAAATTAAAGTGATATATGTATGTACATTTATAGTTCATTTAATGCGCTTATAGCCATTGCATGACTAATAATATACATAACTATTTTTATAGTTAGATCAAAATGTTTCGGTTAAAGTACTTTCAATATAGACTTGTGCTGTTACATTTTAGTAAGTACCTGAGCTTCGAAGTAAGGGTTAAATTACCTCGAATTTTTCACAATTTCTAATCTATCATTTGTTTTCGTAATATTCTTATATTTATGCTAATTTTTCATCGTTCCTGCCAATAAAAATTCTATTGGTTAATTTGGAATGGCAATTTTAAAATTCGACAACATTATTGCAGAATATCGCAAAAGAATTGTTTCATAGCAACACACCATAAACCTTTCAATAATAGCAGAAGAAAATTATAAAATAATGTTTCATATTAATAATAAACAATAATAATTGAACTGCTATTACACGCCTATAAAATATGTATAAGGACATTAAGGCGTTGCTTATAAAGGTATTATAAACAAGTTTACACAGTTAGTAATTGAATAGTTCCGTTTAGTATTTGAAATTGCAAGTGCAAGAACGTTTATTATAAGTAAATTTATCAATTTGCCCGAATATTAAACGACTCATTAGACCGACTAGCCGAGTTTCTTTAAAAATGAAAATTTATGACAGTTTTCCTCAGTCCAAACTGACATGATTCCTTTGTCCATGTCGAGTCCAGGATAGCCGAACATTTTTTTTTCGTTAGCCCACCCTTACATCAAAATTTATAACAAAAAAAGTTGAGAACCACTTAAAATAAAAATTTGATTGCCCAAGGTTAGTCCAGGTTATCGCAGGGATTTATTTCCTTAACTCATTACAATTTCGTTGAAAAATTCGCATTTGGGGGATACCAACTTCTCAGAGCTAAGTTTCACGTATCTATTCATTTTTTTTTGCTAGGTTTTGATTTTCAGAAGTCTTAACGAAACTAAGTGGTTATTATAAAAATTTTGATTGATAAATATTTTTGTGAGTTGCCAGTTTTATATTTGTAGCATTTACTGTTTATGCCTTAAACCTATAGCTTTTTTTACTTTCATTGAAAAATTATATCGGTATTATCATCATAGAGTCGCTAGTCCTAAGACTGGTTGGACACGCACTCCACTCATTCCTATCCTGAGCTAATCTTCGCATTTCCCTAACACTAGAACATCCCACATCCTTAACTATTCGCGAATAGTAATCTAATCTAGGCCTACCTCTACTCTTAATTCCTCTTTCTGCTTCTAATATGTTTCAAACTAGTCCTTCATGTCCCATCGCCTACCTCCCATATTCCTTTGTCGATTTCCGTTACGCCCTTTGTTCCTCTGCCCTTTTTTATACCTCCTAATTTTTTACCTTCTCTATTCACAATATATTCTCATCATTCGCCTGTAGCAACAAATTTTAACCTAATTTTATGTTCGATTAAGCATGGGTATTTCATTTAAAATACTAATATTCTTAATGGATGTAGTAATTTAATTGTTTCAAAAGTGGTATCAGTATAAAAAGTTAAAAAGCGTTAAATATTTTCCTTTAGCATTATGTTATTAAGTAATTCTAACGCGCTGAAAGAACTGTTAAGTGATAAAGTCAACAGTAAAAATTTCAGATAGTGAACGCTAAAACAATAAAATGCGCTTTGGATTTTGCTTGTTTTTCAAAAATTGATGTTGACTTTTTAATTAATAGTGCCTTTTGAATAAGCCAATATCGATAAAAATTATGCAGTACGTTTGAAGCACGGCTACACACATATATATGAAAAAAGAGAAGCGCAGATGCGTTTTGGGGTGTGGTGTTATAGGAGGATGTTAAAAATACCGTGGATAGAACAAGTTAGAAATCAGAACGTATTAGAAAGAGTAGGAGAACAGAGGGCGCTATGGAAATCAATAAGAAATGGGCGAGAAAGGTTGGTACTAGCGTTAATCGGACCTCTGCTTCCGTTTCCGCAATTACAGAAGATGTACTACTTTATCACATCCGCTTCTGCATCTGGTTCCGCATTTGTATAACGGAAGCTCACCGGAACTTAACAAAATCTTATTTTTAATTTTTCTGAAAATCACTATATCGGAACAATAGAAGAAGTCGTAAAAATTTATTACTTTTATCGATTGGCTGAACTTGACCGTTTTCAATACACAATTTAAAAGGAATTGCTACTTGGAATGTTGCAAGTGGGGTAGCTACCTGGGCTGTCTTTCAGTGATCCCCCTGTAGCATTGTGAACGTATTATTATCAACCCTTTGTGTCTACGAACTATTAACCACAATGTGCAACGTTATAGCCGTTAAAATATTGTTAATAATAATACTGTCCCTGTGCAAATAATTTTATTAGATATAGTTTAGGGCCTAAACATATTTCCTAGTATTTAGCAGATATGTTGATATTTTCCAAATTTTATTCTCTTATTGGTTCCTTACTTTAATCTAAAAACAGCGCGGACTTCAAGCTCCCCCTTAAAACTAACACAGTTATAAAATAAGTAAGCCCATGTTGTATGTAGTTTGTCCAGTGGTGTAAATTTTTAAATTAAAAAAGCAATTTTATAGCCAGAAAGAAGCCCTATTTGGAATTATTTTGTTGATATTAATTATGCAAGTATCAAATAAATAAAATCTGTAACATAATATTCGAAAAAAGGGCGCACGACCACTGCATTAAAGAATCACCTAAAATCATTACACTTCCGCATCTGTTTCTATTTCCGCTTCCGCAAAAATTTACTATTTACTTCGGTTGCATCAGTATTTCGTACACATTCTTAGGCATGAAAGGCTAGTCAGAGATGTATTAGAAGAAGAAATCCATACGACCAGTATCGTTTGGAGACTAATATTTAAATCAGTCATCATTTCGTTTTTTCCCGACAGAGGATTTAATTGTATTCTTTTGCACCCAACTTCACATTTAAGCCGTATAATTTTTATATGATTTGAGAGCTCATATAGCAAGGCTTGTGTGTGAAAAATTCCAATTAATTCTACGCAGTAGTTTTTGGTTGGTGCCCTTTTAAATATGGAGAGCGATAAGCAGCATTTTCGACATATCTTACTGTTTTACTACAGAAAGGGTAAAAATGCTGTTCAAGCCAGAAAGAAATTGACTGATGTGTATGGAGAAGGTGTGTTGACAGTACGCCAGTGCCAGAACTGGTTCGCTAAATTTCGATCCGGCAATTTTGATGTCGAAGATGCACCACTTTTGGGAAGGCCGGTTGAAGCTGATAAAGACGCGATAAAGGCATTAGTTGATGTGAACCGGCCAATAACAACACGTGAGATCGGATTGAGGTTAAATTTATCAAATTCAACAGTTTATGACCACTTGAAAGGCCTGGGATTATCCTCGAAGCTCGATGTATGGGTTCCCCATGTTCTCACACAGAGAAATCTGTGTCGCCGCATTGACGTCTGCGATTCGCTTCTCAAACGTCACGACAATGATCCGTTTTTGAAGCGCATCATCACTGGGGACGAAAAAGGGTTGTATACAACAACGTCAAACGCAAGAGGTCATGGAACAAAAAGGATGAACCGGCTCAAACCATTTCCAAAGCCGATATTCACCAAAAAAAGGTGATGCTGTCTGTTTGGTGGGATTTTAAAGGAATCTTTTTTTTTGAGCTTTTACCGGATAACACAACGATTAATTCGGAAGTCTACTGTCATCAGCTGGACAAATTGAATGATGCACTTCAACAGAAAAGGTCAGAACTAATCAACAGGAAAGGTGTAGTGTTTCACCAAGACAACGCGAGACCTCACACAAGTTTGGTCACTCGTCAAAAGCTTTTACAGCTTCAATGGGATACAATGCTACACCCACCATATTCTCCAGACCTGGCACCATCGGATTATTATTTGTTCCGGTCACTCCAAAATTTTTTAGGCGGTAAAACCTTCACCTCAAATAAGGAGGTCAAAAACCTCCTCGATCAGTTTTTTGCCAGCAAAGACCAAAAATTTTATGAGCGTGGAATTATGCTACTACAAGAAAGATGGCAAAAGGTGTTGGACCAGAACGGTCAATATATAATTTAATAAAGTATTTGTTTATTATACGAAAACTGTCTTTCATTTCCACAAAAAAACGAAATGACTTTCCGAACAACCCTATAAATACAAATGGTCTGTGTTTGTATCGAAGAGTTACCCAGTATTTAGATCTAAGAATCTAACTAATTAATGTACTGACTAATTAATTTATGGTAGGGGAGGTAGATTTTACTACTCTCCATATATGGCTGGTCAAACTTATTCCTGTCGTGTATATATGATATTCGAAAAATGTCTTTTTTGCATCAGAATTAATTGTTATCGAAATTGAGCCTAATTAAATGTGGAATTTGATAAAATCCTTGAAACCAAATTAATTCGTATATCGTATTAATTATGTTATCAATTAGATAAACTTGAATGGGTACTTTCCCGGAATATATGCTGGACATTTATTTGCATATTAAGTGTACATGTTTTATTAATACAGTAATTTATTACCGAAAGAGAATGAGCATGGCTCCAGGGTTATTGTTTCGGTTTTCCTGTATTCTGTATTGTTTTGCATACAAAAGATATTTTGCTTTTTAAAAACCATTATCTTCATTAGTTAAAATTCTAGCTATGCTTAATTCGATTATATGTATGTATATTTTCTACATAGAATGAAAAATATCCACTTACTTAAATTAGACAGCAAGTTTTAATTTTTCGTAGAAATCCTTATGTTTATCTTTTCTTAATTGCTTACAACTTTACATGTTATTACACCTACTTGCTGTTTATTTTAGTTTAAAGTAATTTCCACAAGGAATTGGAGTAGTTAAATTTCATTAAAAACTATTTAAACCTTGCCCAGCGACATTCGGTTTTTGATTAAACAGTTGGTTGGAACGTTTGTTTTTATTAATTAACCGCTGTAAAATCTAATCTAGGAAGCACGCGCCTCATATTTTTGCAAACCGATTAGCATACGTAACATTTTTTTGTAAATCATTAAAGTAAATATGCATGTACCTGGTAGTAAATGTACATATATATATATATATACATTAGGTAGACAATTAGAACAATAAGTGTGTTTAACTTTGCTTACTATTATCGGTAAATATTGCAACGTTTTATGTCAACTATTATTTATACATATACTTAATCTATAATCTCTTTTGCTAACGATTAGTTTCAATTGTTACGATATTTTTTTAATCTATAGCTGTCAAGATTTGGAAGAGTAACTAGCTTTTAAGCAATAAGAGTCATGGTGGATTATGTAGAAATATCTCTACGTATGCCAACACCCGAAGTGGGTAACATTGAATCTCGGACGGTCCATAAATAAAACTCAAATGGACATAAAAGTTATATATATCATTTATGGTTACTTTTCGTCATGATCACTTTGACGATTGAGGTATTTGTCGTACCGGCGGACAATCATTCCAGTATCCTCTTCACAAAGTCTTTCATGAATTTAAATGAGTCTTGAAGTTCCTTGTTAGTTTAGAAACGCTACCCTTTCTAGATCTTCCTATCCAATTAAGGGAAAAAATGGAGACCACTCAACAATGGGTCGAGACCGTGATTGGTAGAAAATGTTTCGCTGAAATTGCTTACACTTGCTGGATTGCGCCAGCACTAGGGTCGGATTTTGTCATGGATCATAATAATTCCGAAAGTCAGCATATCAAGTTTTTGTTTTGAATGACCCTCCGACCTAGTGTCTAGTGACTCATTTCACTGATTTTCAGTGCAACTAGGAGCTTCAAGACATCGTCAAAACTCATTTAAATTCATCGATGGCAACTTTTCTTGCATTAGAATGTATTGGAAAGTTTGTCCTTAGATACGATAAATGCTTCAATCCGTGGAGGTGATTATGGCGAAACGTAACCATCGGAAGTAAAAAAAAAAATAGCGGCCCTTAGTAGTAGAAATAAAATAGGTATAAGCGTACCAAATACGGGTTCTCCTTCTTCCAATAGATATTGATCCCTAAGAAATTCACAAGTCCTCTCCGAAATGTGCACCATTCCCGGTTTTCCCGTCGACTCCATTCGATTGGCCAAGGTGACATCGTTACTCCACACGTCAAATTTAAACCGCCGCGTCCCCACAATCCCACACAACACCGTCCCCGTATGCACACCCACCCGCATGTTCAACGCTTCGTTCGTTTCTTCAACGAATTGCTTGATCGCTTGTATCATACTCAGTCCCATTTCGACACAACATCTGGCGTGATCGGGACGCGGTCCGGGACATCCGCTGACGCAGTAGTAACAATCTCCGAGGGTCGAAATTTTCTCGCAGTTGTTCTGCTTGCATAGGACGTCGAATTTCTGAAAGAGCTTGTTGAGGATGTCTACCAACTCTTCGGCACTCTTTGTGCTCGAAATCTTCGTGAATCCGACTATGTCAGCGAAGAGGATGCTAACGTTTTCCATCCGATTCATGTTGAATGGTCTGAAGAGGGACCGGATGTAGCTCGAATCTCCCGAATCCCTGTATTCGGAGCCGTTCTTTACAAAATGCTCTTCCTCACTAAGCAACCATTGTGCAACTTTCGGAGGCATCAAGGAATGTAACATGCTCTCTTTGAGGTTCTTTTCTGCTTTAAGCTGCTGCCCGACCAGCAAACTTTGACCAACTTTCATGAACGTGTTCCTCATCCTGACGTTCGTCATAACGAGACAGTGGAGACCGATAACGTGGATGCAGAAGTGAAGCAGGATCCTAACCAGCATCGTCAATCCTTCGCTCTCCTTGTGGTGCACCAGCCACGTGAGCACTTCGAACAAGACCGAGTATGTTATGGCGATTGCTATTGTTAAATAGAGACGCAACGGGATCACGGTATAGATGAGCAGTAGTACTTCGGTACAAAGAGAAAAATGACCGACTGGACTTATGTCGGACGTCTGACGATTGAAATACGGCTCGAAACGTACGGGAATCAAAACCAGGAACGACAGACTGATGAGACACAGACACACGGCAACGCTTAGCGACACGTAAAACATGTAAGCGTTGAAAAACTCGCGATAGGTGAGAAGGAGAAACGTCACAACAGAGAAAATCACAGCCGCAAGGATTGTGCACAGGATCGGCCATCGTTGAGTACCGTATGAGATGCCAATCGACAGGAAAAATATGAGCCACGATGACGAAATGAGGAGGATATACCAAAGGGCGTACCTGAAATAAAGAACAAACACAAAATTAATACATGGAAATTCAATAAACTATTCGAAATCGACAGAGGGATTCAGAGATCATATTGAGGAACACACATCAATAAGAAAATACTACAAATGGCGCGGTAAACGCCATCTGTAGTACGATGCTACATTTTAGGATTACGTATGCTCCAACAAGGTCCATTTAAATATATGGATATCTACTTGCTGAAACGAATCCCGGCGTAGCTAACCTCAACGTGATAGCCACGTTACCATAATCGAATAAAATAATTCGAAGTGGTCTGTATTGTGTCGAAACTGCCAGACGCCGATCGCGATTTCGATCTTTTTGGATCTCATCAGCGCGTCGCAGACAGTTCTGACAGAACACAGACCAACTTTTACCTGCTGTCTTAACAGCGCGTTTTAGAAAATACTACAAATAGCGCGGTAAACGCCAAATGTAGCATCCTACTACAGATAGCGATCGAAATTGCGATCCGCGTCTGGCAGTTTCGACAGAATACAGACCACTTCGAATTATATTATTCAACACATCAATAAGTATTGGAGATGTCTGTCATACCTGCCAGAGGAAACGTAGAGAGACAACTCTTTACCCTGGAAGGAAGACTTTAAATGATCGAAGTCATCAAAAAACGAGAACCACCAAGAGTAGAATACAAAACTCAACTAAATCAACAAAATACTCATTCAACAGATTTTACATACCAATACTACAGTAATGAATTTTGAGTGATTTATAAGATGCGATTACTGGTAGTATTTAAATCATATGAAAATGGAATCTTCACTTATTATTGGAAAGATAATTTCCATCAGTTATATTATCTTCTCTTTTTAAAGATCAGACGTCGCAAAACAATTGAACATTCCAAATATTGATATTGCTAAAGAAGAATATGAAAAACAATTGCAACTGATTGGCACGTACATAGTTTACATAAAAAAATGCGAACGAAGTGCCAATCGATGTGTGGATATGCAGTTTATTTTGTATAATCGTTGGGTTAACCACTGGCATGTTCAGTTAGCTGCAAATGTACTCGGTTCTATTTATGAAAAACTACGACGAAAGGCCAACTTGATTGCTGGTAATGTTCTTCCTGAAAAGTGTGCGTAGGAAAAAAAAATGCGAGGAGGCTATTACCTCATATATCAAACGGTTTAAAAGCCTGTAGAGTATTTATAGCTTGCAGTATTGAGGATAAGATTATCAATAAATTTTTATTCGGGACGAATTACCAAGCAATTGAATTATAATAATATTAAACGAGGTTATTAATCTTCCGTAGAAGATTCAATACTATATTTTGCACAAAATGCGTTTGTTTTTTTATAATAAGTAATTTTTATTCAGTTATTTGCTGCTACAAAGTTATAACCTTCTAAAAATATATTTGAAATATTTTCCGAGTTTTTTCAATCACAATCATTGCAAAAATTAAATGTCAAGGATGTCACCACTCAAATGGACGATATTATTTCGAAGGCTTCGCATATTTGTTAAAAAAATAACATAAGAACGCAAAATTATAAAACCATTAGATTGCAATTAATTTTTATTATTTTTTGATCTTCGGAACTATTTGCATAATATTGAAGAAATTTAATAAAAAAAAAACTAGAGTCGAGATAAATGTCACATAAAATTGGATAATGGACGTACCAAAAGCTCAATCGAGAATCTGCATTTATTACTCTAATTATCATTATGTTTATCGCACAAAAACTGAATAGCGACAAAGTCGACAAAAAGTTTTGAAAATTCCTCCATATATATTTTAATTGACATATAGCACAAATCAACTATCTTTCACGTTATAAAAATCCACTACGCCCGTATTATAACTGATATGGAGATGCGTCTTAAACACCGTTTTGTAGAATACTGACTAAAATATTCATTTTGTATGGGTATCGCTATAAAATTGTGTTTGCGTATACCTAATAAATCAAACAAATTTTTTATAAGGCGTCGCCGTCGTCTTGTTTTATATGGTAATAAACCAATCAAACCAAAAATACAGCGCGTTGAATTTCACATTCGTGTTCGTTTATTAGACTAAATTAACATAAACCAGATTACACCAAAACTGTGCCTCTTGGTTTGAGGAGGCCAAAATTTATCGTACAAAACTATTAAATTTTGAACACTCTGTATCTACTACTAATAGCTGTACAGTCATCAGCATATTAACTAATATTTAGGCATTTCCCATTTAGATTTAGAGGAAAGTATATCACTACAGTGAAGATAACACACTAAGCCTGCGGATTTTAATAATATAATTATAATATTATGCAATCGGTAAACGTGCTATAAATCTCCCTTTTCTTTTGGCAATATAAATACAACAACTGTTATTATAAATACGGTAAGCATACATACAAGTGTAGTTAGTTATTTACTTAAATGATATTAAAGAATTGAGAAAGGCAAATAGCGAATTAATTTTTCTTTACATAATATCTACAATGAAGGTTTTTAAACTGGGTTTTTGTGAGTTTATTAAAGTTATTCCAGTTGAAATAATTATAAACTTAAAATAACTGCTTTAGACGGAAATAAGTGGTGAGGTCACACGTTATAATTGACCTATTTTAAAATAGGGGATGAAAGTTTAAGTGAAAGAGTCGATGGAAACAGTGGTAATTAGCATTTTCTTTTGTAGTGACTGTAATAAAATTGAATCGGTTAACGTATGTAAACTTGAAAACGGTTCTACTTTGATTTCATCATGCTAACTAAATTATACCATTACTCATGTATATCTCTAGATATATGAACTTTTATCTTCATTAGGAATTAAAGGAATTCATTCACTTGAAGTACATACGAACCGTATAATACATTGAATATGTACATACCTCACTATAAGAAAAAAGAATGTACACAATTTTAAATTTTGTAGCTCGGTTTACCATTAAATTGGTCTACCTGAATTTCAGTCGATTGTAGGCATTCACGCTTTTCCGATATTGTTTCTCGAGGATTTGGGAGTCGAAAGTGAGATGCCACCAGGATTTGCTCGCTGCCCTTTCGAAGGGTATGGGTAGACAACGTCCCCAGCATCCAGATTCTTGAGACACTTGGGCCAAATATTTCTGAATGTGGGGGTCGATGGACAGTTGTATGTTCTCCTCATCGACAGTTATATCCGATTGTTGCTCGTTGTCAATTTGAGATTCGGATCTCATGTAACTTGTCCACGAAGCCTTCTTCTTACTGGTCATCGTCGAAGCGAAATGAAAACACTCGCGTGAAGAGAATTCGGACGCGCACTCTGATTACGTTAATTAATTGATGTACTTTCAAAGAAATCAATTCGAATGCCACATTTTCGGTTCGGTTGTTGTTCAATCAGTTGCCGTTTGGATATTCGGAAATTTTTTATTTTGAATTCGGACCGAAGTACTGCTCGCCTCCGAAGCCCGATAAAATGGGTTACGTTGCCTGTAGAGCAACGTGTACACGCCTTCATAATGTTTACGTTCCACAATACATTATCGTTGAACAGACCCTGCCCGACACTGACGAGAAGAAACATTAAATTCCCAATTAACAAACGCGCAAACCGACAACCTACCATGAAACCAGCAAGCAACCAGCTCTTAATCGTGATTGACAAACGACAGATGGCGATTCTACGAATCCCCTACCTCACAATGTCGATAATTTGTTAGACAAAAATCTATGGTGGAGGTCGCGACAACACACACCAATTGCACGTCTTACAAACCAACTAGGGTTTGCACAAATTGCACTTGCTTTGCTACTCCTAGCGAAAGATATTCAGCTGGGTGAAACATCGACGTTACTATGATGTACTTGATTTTTCACCATTCATTCATAGAACTAACGATTACCTGTCCTCAGTACTTTTTAGAAGTCTTTCTGACAATGCTTTACCCCCTAATCATTTACAATGAATTGGGTAGTACAATACCTACCCCTAGCAAACAAACATGATGATATGCGAGTAACGCTTGAAAAAACTACAATTTTTTGGAAATCTTTTGTTTAATCGTAGCCACCTGAGTTTTGCCCCCCACTAAAATGACTCGGTGAAGGTCTAGATGATGGCCCCCACCCTCGTAGGGGGGATCGAAAGAGGAGGTCTTCCCTACCACCGTACCATAAAAAGTTATGGGGGTTAAAAGTTGATTATTTTGACAATTTTCATACACATCATCTAGACCTCTACACCAATGACTCAATCCATTGAATCAACTGAATCAATTGAAGCAACATTTTGTATTTGGTTACTTTTTCACTTTTAACTGAATAAAATAAATTTAAAACCCAGGTTAGTGCCTCTTCATAGTCAACTATTTTTATTCTATAACTATCTCTACCAAAAGTATGCCATTTTTCCCTGATTTCAGACAAAACCCCCAAATTCCATTTTAAGCAAGAAATTTCCACGTGGGGGATCTTAAAACACTTTTCTAATAAATAGTAAATGCGTTTCCTTATCTAGGAAGTTATTTTTCTTTTTCTTGTCTTTAAAAACAGAACAAAATGGTACTTTCTGGGCAAGGGTAAAGTAAAAATTTGTATACTGGCTTCAGAAAGAAAGCACAGTACGTCCTGCTGGATGTTTTCCGCCCTCGTCTTCGCAATTCACACCTGGAAGTTATACTTTCTTCCCTTGGTGCGTAATTAAATATTTAGTAAGGATAATGTGATCCTACCTAACCCAACCCAGCCTATGGCCAGCTTATTTATTGTTTAATTAGCACCTATCGCATCTACTAATGAATTATTTATTGTATTACGTATATGTATGTAGTTTTATATTTCAAAACTGTCTAACTATCACACAGTGTGTCTCTTTGTTGTTTATTGTTGCTATTTTTATTAAAAAAATTGAGAGATACTGTGTACATTTCATAACACAAAGTCGTTTGCATGCATGCCCTTGCTATTTTGCGGGGTGAAGTAAAGGTTAATATTTACCCACGTGAACTATAAATATTTAAATAGTCGAGCTACTCAACTGGGTGTGTGTATATTATTATGTATTATAAACTACATTGTCAGGTTATCGTGTTATTAATTCGAAAATGTAGGTTTATAAAATTTATCGGAGATAAACGGGAGTATAATATAGATATGCGGCTGATTTGCGATCGAGTAATTACTGTTATCTTAATTTTATTCGAAAAACGATGATCATCCTGGTGATAAAGCCAATAGTTATTTATTAATGAAGTTATCGCCTGAAAAGCATTCTTTGAAATTATTTATTATAAAAGCACTGTGCTTTTTTATTGATTGATTCGCCAGTTCTTTTCGAGTACCCACCTGATGGTTGTAATGAACGGATTTGGTAGCGTGTTTGGATAGCGATAGAACAGAGGACTCATTTCAGTAGGCTGGTGTTCAATAAATAATTTATTTAGGGAACGGAGTTATTGATGTGAAATTACAATTTAACATAAAAAGGTTTAGAAAACTAAATTGACTTTCGACACCCAAGGAGTTATCTCCGCATTAGCAGCTAGTTGAATCCTCTTCTTTTTCCTAAGACAAACAATTAGTTCGTAATTATTTTTTCTTAAATTAAAAGTTATAGTCATATCTTCGTAAATCAAATTGGACCTAACTGTAACAGTCCAACGTCGTTGATAATTTTAGTGTTCCTTTTGACTTTCATCCCAACAACATTGCACCCTTCTATTTCCCGCAAATTATTGTTGCAAAAGAGACCTAAACCAAGCTAAAGAATTTCCTATTTTTGACAAGAAAGCCAATATGACCTCTACTTGTCTTTGAGTAGTGTTAAAGGTCTTTCAAATAGTTTATCGTGAATCACGATGTTTTGCAGTTTATTTGCAATTACTTCTTCTAAAATTAAAAGTTACAAAACTATTTACTTTTTAGTCATATGTTCGTAAATAAAACTGGACCTAACTGTTGCAGTTCAACTTCTTTGATAATTTTACTGTTACTTTTGCCCTTCGTTCCAACAACATTGCACCCTTCTATTTCCAGCAAATTCTCGTTGTAGAGGAGTCCTAAACCCGTGCTAAAGAATTTCCCATTTCTGACAAGAAAGCCTATATGATCTGTACTGTTTTTGTGTAGTGTTAATGATCTTTCAAAAGGTTTACCGCGAATCGCAACGGATTCCATTAACAGAACTATTCTTAACTAAATCGTGCACTTGATCTATCAAGATATTTGCCGTTTTTCTGTAAAATTTGACGACCAAAGCGAATCTCTGCTAAAACTGCTGGAGACTTGTCAATTACCAAACAATAGAACATTCCCTTATCAATTGGTGTCATGCAAATCCCTATCCTACCCTACTTAGTGGGAAAGTTAAACGATTGGGGGTTTTTGGTTTCTGATAAATTTCATTCAGAATCCTATCACATTTAATGCATGCTTTTTAGTGTTTCATTAAAAATATACCCAAGTACTACCACTCCGCTAGTGTATTTTAGAAATTTGGGCGTATGTACTTTTTCTTGGTAGATTGACGCCAGATTCAGTTTCTAATAAACTGTAACAATTATTGTTTGGTAATCTTGATTCTGTTTTGTTTACATTTTTCTAGTATTAGTTGTGTGTAAACATTCGAAAATGTTTTGTGATTCATATCGTAGGTACTTAACAAATTGAAAAACGCATTGTGTATTTATAAATGCACCAAGTGATGCACTTAGATAAATGCGTCAGATGTATGTATGTGATGTCGTTCGGTTAAAATTCAAAATATGCCTCGGTGTTTATTGGCATTTAGTCAGGGCTACCTTCAGGGTGTTAATTACTAAAATTGTCCAGATATTATATGCAAACATGTGCACTTTGTCCAACATTATTTGCTCGTGCTAATTAATTATGATGTTTACATTCGTACGTCTGCACATGAGTTTCATTTTTGCGCTTTTGTAAACAAAACACTTTTTAGCTTAAAAATATCGAGGCGTTTTGGTAAACGAATGAGAAATTTATAATATTTCATACTTCCAGTGTTGGATTAAGCATATATCAGGTGCATAGTCATTACATAAACATAACAAAGTGTTAGTAAAATTTTACCAAAATATGTAGAACATTTTCGAAATATTAAAGTGTAAAACACACAATCGAATTGTTAGCAGTTAAAAAGATACATGGTGTTAAGTCTAAAAATAAGGATTCTGGAAGCAACTCTGTGTATGCGTGAATTATTTTGGATTTTTCGGTCTGTTTTGGCACATTTTTGGTCATCAATCAAATAATTTGCTTATTTAATCTTGTTTTACTTGGGACAGATATGCCAGGATATTATTTATTTTTTATCGAGAATTTCGTAAAATCTTGAAGGTCGCTATAATAAATAAAAAAATAAAGTTGGTTTAATCCAGGTTTCCATAATTTTAGTTTTATCAATTTTGGAAATATGACTTGACAATATGACTTTTGAAGTATATTTTCAGTGTTGGATAACTTGAATTGAATTCAACCAAGTTTTTTGGATTGGTATATTCAGTAGTTTCGGAGAACATGACATCCCAAATTTTGAAAAAAAAAATACGGTTCCTATTCAGTTATAACAAAAACATAATTTAATTTTTTTACTTACCGTGAACATAACTACCTTCAAAAATAATTACACATTAAGGCATCTTTACAGTTTATTTATTTATTTAGTTTATTGCATGTAGGCACTATTTTTTTATTGTATTTATATGTATATAGGTACAACATCAACAGCCACATTAAACTTTTATCTTATTACATATAAAAGGCATTTATACAACTAATTACATTTTTAAGTTAATAAAATACAAAAGCGGGAAATCATTTTCAAAACAGGACTCATTTTATCACATTTCAACAGGAGCAGTAATAAATGCAAACGAAAGTGTTGTAGAAAAGAAACTTTTTTTTTTTAATTTTTAGGAGTACTTCGCCCCCATAACCAATTCAACAGCACCTTAGACGGACTTTGTACATCTCGGGCTAAAAAAATGCGTCAGTAAACATACTGGTACCAAAACAGGAAGCTCATACATAAATTGTGTCAATAATTGCTGTATTACGTTTATAAGATAATAACAAACCCGGTTTAATTATTGTTATTATAAATAACAAATAACGGTAAATTTGCGCGAAGCAATAAAATTTTGTTGTACAGAATTTTTCCGATTTACGTTTTGACATGCAGGTGATATAGCTGTATTGGTTTCAAGCAAGGAGGAATTAGAGATATTTGCCTTTAACTATTGTCAAAACAATACTTTATCTAGGAAGTCAGATAAGTCCGGACTGGACGGAAGGAGTAGAGGATAGCACAGGTTCGAGCCGCCTTCAATAAAATGAAGTAATTTCTACTCTCGCAATCGATTACTTTAGAATGGTTCGAAATGAGGTGTTACAAGCGAATGATGAGTACACCGTGGATAGAGAAGAGGTAAATGTCTAGATGATGGCCCCTGCAGGGGTGGGGGTTGGTGGGATCGAAAGAGGAGGTCTCCCCCACCACTGTACCATAAAAAGTACGTGGCGGTTTCACCCCTATAAAAAGTTATGGGGGTTAGATGGGGGTGGGGGTAGGGGGGATCGAAAGAGGGTGGCCACCTGAGTAAAACACCATAAAAAAATTGTGACGGTCTCACCCCCATAAAAAATTATGGCGGTTGAAAGTTGATTATTTTGTCAATTTTCATACACCATAATTCAAATAAAATTCAATAAAAAAAATATTTTCAAGCGGATGGAGGTGGGGGATCGAAAGAGGGTGGTCACTTGAACAAAACCCGATAACCTAACCTAACCTACGCTATTGATAAAGATATTTAAATAATGTTTTATATAACTCAATATTTTTATGTATTTTTCATTAGTTTTACCTTTGAATATTGTTTAAGAATGACTATATAAATATTTACATGCCAAGAAATGTATAAAAATTGGCATATTTATTAACTTTGAACCACCATAACTTTTTATGGGGGTGAGACCGCCACAAACTTTTTATGGTACAGTGGTGTGGGAGACCTCCTCTTTCGAAAGGGTGTGGGTCTATCATCTAGACCTTTACCAGAGAAGGTTAGAAGTGAAGAGGTATTAGAAAGAATAGGAGAACAGAGGACTCCATGGAAGTCAATAAGAAATAGGCGAGATAGATTGGTAGGACACCTTCTCAGGCATGAAGGTCTAGTCAGAGACATGTTACAAGAGAAAACATGAGTTAAGAAGAGTAGAGGTAGGCCTAGATTAGATTACTGTTCGCAAATAATTAAGGATGCAGGATGTTCTAGTGTTAGGAAAATGCGAAGATTAGCTCAGGATAGAAATGAGTGGAGATGCATGCCCAACCAGTCTTAGGACTGACAACCTTATGATGATGACGTTTTGTTCAAAGTTGAAATACTTACACAGAGTGTAGGTTGCATCGTGCATGAGTTTGGCTGCAGCTTCCGGGGGTAACATTGCTCCAACGTCTTGATATTGTTGAAGAATCGTCAATTCTTGTAACCTTCTCTGCTCTTGCTCGTCCAGAATGGTTTTGTCTTTACGATACCCTATAGATTTCAACTCCAAAAGTCTGAAAATTTGTGCAGATTAATCATATGAGAAATTCATGATGATCTTCAATATAAGATGGACCGAGACTGTGCACATTTAGTTTTTTTTTATCATATAGACACATCGAATAGCTTTGTAGCAATTGTAAAGCAAATTTAATGGTCTTTGTAAAAATTACTGCAATTTTCATGAGTGGTAGGTACTTCCTGAATATGAATGTCGACATAATCACATACTGTAAAACTGTGGAAATTCGGTTTTGATTTTGGTCAAGTCTTAGAGACGTAGACAAGATCAAGACGAAAACCAACACCAATTTTGCACATTATTTACATTTTTTACGTACTTGTTATTTAGCGAATTCTCTTTGGTCTTCAAATCTCCTTCTGTAACTTCAGCTGCAAGTTCAGTTCCAGTAGCACCAAGAACTGTAGCAGACGCACTGTTACTTTTTGGAATTGCGCCAGTGCCAGAAGCAGTAGTTTTCTCATCCTCTCCATCTTTTCTCCCCTTCTCGACCCCTTGTTCAAACTGAGCTTTACGCCTTAGATCTTCTTTTTCTCTTAACGCATTGGAGAGCTTCAGTTGCAACGTGTCTCTTTCTTCAAGGAGTTGCGTCAGTTCTAAAGTCAATTCTTCACATCTGACGTCCCTCTGGTGGAGCATGTAAAGAGCCAAGTCCAATTCTGCTCTGCTGACGGGTTCACTGGTGTCATCTTCCTGAAGTTGTCTTCTATTATCAACCTTTTGAGTTTCGTAGTTTTGTTGGATAATTTTACGAACTTCTGGAGCAGCTTCTGCGGTTGACGATCTCGGGGTTGTTTGTATTTCCATTTCGGCAATCAATGAATCGTAATCTTTACTCTTTTCAAAGACTTGTTTCTTTAAGTCTTCGATTCGTAGAACTTGGTCTTCTATGATTTTGTGCAGTTCAACAACCTGTTTCTTTTCTTCCATTAATTCTTCATTTTGTTGCTCTAGCTGCTCATAAGAGTTACGATAACCATCTAATTTGACCTTCTGTTCATCCAAAGCCTTGTTTAAATTCTCGCATTCTTTCTCTTTATTTATTAGTTGTTCTTTGATCGCGTTGATTTCGTCGATTTTATTAGAATATTCCTGAACAGTTGCTTGTAGGAGCTGTAGGTCCGATTCTTTGGCCATCAAAATTTCTTCGTAGTGTGTTTCGGTTTGCGACAGTCTTTGTTTAAGAGCATTGATCTTTTCTGCTTCGTCTTCAAGGAGAGAATCTTTTTGTTGCATTTTCAGTTCCAAAATGTAGGTGAATTCCCTTTCTTTTTCTGAAAGTAGCGCCTGCATCTGATCGATAACTGAATCTTTATTTCGTAATTCAACCGTGAGGGCTTCCAGATTCGTATTTTGCTGGGTGTACGCATTTAATTGAGACTCCTTGTCTTGAATATCTTTTAAAAGATTCGAAATGCGCTCTTCGTGCTCTTTAACTTGATTTTCTAGGGCAGATATTGTTTTGTTGGCGTTAGTCAGTTTTGCGGCGGTTTCTTCGAGCCTTTGGGAAATCGATTGGATGTAGTTTTTGCTATCGTCATTAAGTTTTTCAATTGAATATCTCATTTCTCTTTCGGAAGCCAATTCTTTTTGGCAGTTGTTCAAAGAATGCAGATTTTCATTGAATGCTTCTTTGAATTTTTCCAATTCTTTATGGAGGTTTTCACACATGCTCTGTTTTTCGTTTACTAAAGCATCCTTTTCTTTAACAATATTTTCATAAGAGACAACACTGTTATTTTTCTCTTGTAATTCCGACTGCAATTTTTCAGTAAGTAGTTCTTGATTTTTAAGTTTCTCATTTAGCGACTCGATTTCTCGTTGGTTTGTTTCTAATGACAGCGTTAGCTGTTTTATCATCTCCTGACCATCGACGATTTGCTGTTGAAGAGCTGAGACTCGATCGACTTCGTTTCTTATCTCGGCATCAACGTTTCTCCTCAATTCGTTATTCTCATTGACAAGTACGTTGAATTTCGATTCCAATTCGAAAATTTCCTTTCGTAGCTGTTGTTCCAATTGCATGAATTCCGTTTCCCTGGATTCCAAGTGCAACTTCCAACTTTCTGCCACGTCTGTACCACGTTGATCAACCCTCTGAGACCATTCTTCGGTTAGTTGCTGAATTGTTGTCGCTAATTTACTTTCGTATTCAGATTCGTTAGTTTCCAATTTAGAAATTAATGATTCCAATTGTTGATTTTTCTCTGTTAATTCGTGCTTAAGGTGATCGAGTTGCTCGACATGTTCGGCGAGTTGGATTTCGAAATTTGCACAAGCTTCTGTCTTCTCTTGGAGTCGTTTTTCAATGTCACTATATTTTTCTGAATTTACTGATAGCTCCTTCTCATACTCGTTTAGTTTTTGCGATAACGTAGTTAATTCTGTCTTTGTTTCGTTGAGTTCAGTAAGCTTTTCTTGATATTGGATTTCAAAACTTTGCTCGTCAGAAGTTGATTTCGCCAATTGTTTTTCGAGTGACAGAATCTGAACGGTGGCTTCCGAAAGCATGTCGTTGAGGTTTTGCACTTGGACGTTGCTTTCTTGAAGGGCGTTAAATAGATCGGATTTTTCTTTGTTCAATGCCTCAATAGTTGTAGCAAGTTCATCACTATTAACATTGGCCGATTTAAGTTGTTGTATTGTCATAGTCAGAGAATTTACTTCAGAAACAAGTCTCGAATTTTCTTGCTCAATACTAGTTAATTTTTCTCTTAAGTTGGAAGAATCTTCTAGTTGTTTATTTTGATTTTGAATTTTATGTTGTAGCTCTGCGACGTGTTCGTTATTTTCTTTTAAGTTTTCTTCTAATTTAGTTTTCTGTTGCTGTAACTCAAAAATTACCTTTTCTAGTTCAGATTTTTCTTCCAATTCTTGTTTCAACATGTTTAATTCCTTTTCTATTAAAGTTGTACTTTCTTTTAATTTGGTATGTTCAGTAAGGAGTGTTGTATATTCTGCTTCAGATTTCATGTTTTCGGAAGACGGTTCTAATGATTTGGAACGTTCGAGAGAAATTCTCAGATTGCGCTGCTCTTCGAGTAGTAGTTGTAATTCCTCGTTGTCTAGAACGAGTTCTTTGATTGTTTCATTCAATTCATTAATTTTTGCAAGCAGTTCATGATTGCTTTCATTTTCATTAGTATCAGTTTGCTGCTTGAATTGTGTGGGTTGTTTTTTGGGAGATTCGTGATCACCATCGCCCCACTCGAGCTGCTCCAGTTTTGAAGCTAATTCCCGATTCCTTTGTTGCCATCCTAACATTTCGATATCTTGTTTTTCCTTCATTTCCAGCATTCTCTCGTGTGACGCTGTTAAAACATCGACGCGTTGTAAAAGATTGTTCTTCTCTCGACGTTCTTTGTCTAATTCGTTGTTGATTTCTTTGATTCTCTTCTCGAGATTGCTTATTTGCGATTTAAGTTCTTCCTGGATTGTATTTTCCAAGTCGCCGAATTCGTCAGTTCGCGACTTTTGAGCTGTTAGTTTATCGTTTTGGTTCTTGAGTTCCTTCACTTTCTTGATCAACTTTCCGGCCTTAACTTGTAGTTGACGTATTTCTTCCAGGTGACGTTCCCTGTCAAGTTCAAGGACCCGGATTCTTTCCTCCAATTGTTCAATACGTGGATTGGTATCGATTTCGAGGTTACTTCTTGCCTCTTTTTGGGTGCGCTCTTCTTCAAGTTTAGCTTCGTCAGGTCCCCAGCCCCATCCGTCGTCATTTTCAAAAATATCACTAGTCACAGGAGGTGTTACCTGCTGACCTGAATTTTTTTTATCATTTTCGGGATTATATTCCAAGTAGGCAGTTTTTGGAGGTCCTACAACTTCTTCAACGGGTTGAGAACCATCAGTTTTTGTAAAATGAACTGGTTCGAATTCTATATTTTGAAGTTCTTTGCGGTCTTGTTCAGAAATGTGTGCCTTCTGAAGAGGAACTATCCCTGAATCTATTACATCTTGATGAAGTTGTTGAGGAGGGATTTCTTGAGAAAATCTACGTTGTTCCTTTTCGTAAATGAGTTCTGCCAACTCATTGGTGAGTTGATTGCATTGAGCAAGCGCCTCGTCTCTTTCCTTTTCTGCATTAAAGAGCATGAATTCCAACGTTTTTAGTTTATGTTCGAGCTCCGTAGAGACATTAGGCACAGGAGCATTTGCGTGTTCAACTGCATGAGTAGATTCGAATTTTTCTTCATTCACGAAGCCGAATGGATCGTTATTGTCGAAATTGCCCCAATTAATACTGACAAGTTCTTGATTTTGATGTGGAACACTGGTGTTAGGAGTCTGTGCCTGTTCTTGCTCAGAAACTTTCTTTTCGGCAACGTTTAATATTTCATCAACTACTTGTTTAGACACGTGATGGGCTTGTAGTTGTTTGTAGTTTAAAATTTCAGAATTTAACTTAGAAATGTGTTCTTCCATTTCCAAAATTTTAGATTCTAGACAGCTTTTGTCGTGTTTCACATTGTCGAGTATCTTATTTGTAGCTTCTAACTCATGTAAAAGTTCTTCATTACGTGCATCATCTTTTTGGGGTTCTGGTTCAAACAACTGTTGGGGTGCACTTCCGAAATACGATGCTACACTAGGAACTTTGCTTTCGACGCTTTGCTCTTGTACATTTTGTAACTGTTGAATAATTGCTACATTATTTTCATTGTCGATTTTTATTTTTTGAAGTTCTGCTGTTGTATTTTGTAAATCATTTCGCATTACAGTTAATTTTTTCTCATAGCTGTTTATTTCTTCTTGTAGAAGTTCTTGATTTTCCTGACTTTCTTTAAGTTGGTCTTGGAGGTGTTCTGATTGGGCTAGAAGATTTTTACGTTCGTTCGAGTTTATCTGTATTTGGTTCTGAAGTTCATTTTCTAACGCGTCTAATTCTTGCTCTTTGTCAAGCAGTTTCTTGTTCAGATCGTGTTGTAATCTCTTAAGTTCGTTCTCAAGATTTATGGCATCATCTGTAAGTTTTGCATTTTCGCTTTCCAAAAACGATATTCTTTCAAGAAAATCAGAAACATCCACAATTTTTCCAGAGGCAGAGCTGAGCTCTTCTCGTAGTCTGCTATTTTCGTCCAAAAGGAAACGGTTTCGTTCAGAAAGGTCATGGTTTTCATTTGTTGTTTCTTGCAAACGTTTCTCGATTATTTCATCATGAATGAGCAACGCACTGAGTCTTTGTTCTAATATGTCTTCTGTGTGCGATATCTCTTCGTAGTTGTGCGACTTTTCTTCGAGTTGGGCACCCAATTCGATAGCTCTCCTTTCTAAAGAAGCACGTCTTTCTTCCACTACCAGCAATCCCTCTTCCAATTTGTTAGCTTTAATTTTATATTTGGACAACTCAGCTTCCTGTGTCTCAATGTACATCTCCAATTCCTGAATCTTTACTTGTGCAGCGTTGAGACTCGTGTCGTGATTGTATTTCAGTGCCTCAATTTTTTCATTTAACTCGTTTATCATCTCGTCTTTTCTGGTTATCTCAATGTTCATGGCGTTGTTGATATTAGAACGCATGATTTCCATCTCATCTGAAAAAGCAGCGATCTGAGTTTCGTAGTCAGTTTTTATGTTCTGCAAATCGTTGTTAATGGCGATGTATTGATTAATTTGGCTTCGTAATTGAGCATTCTCGTTTTGAATTCGTCCTAGGTCATTTTCTCTTTCTTCAAATGCTTGCAGTTTCGTGGTAATTTCCTCAAGTTTTCCGCGCAATTCTTCAACTTCTTGCCTTTTTTCTGACAATGCTTCATCCTTTTCTTTAACTTCGACCTGTAGTTTTTCCTTTTCGGTAACTTCATCTTCAACGGTTTTGGTCATTTCAGAAACGCGCTTTTCAAGTTCTTGACACTGCAATGACTTTTTCTTCAAATTTGCTGCCAGTTTTTTCATCTTTTCGAGTTGCTCCTTGTTTTTGTCTTCCATTTCTTTTATTCTGCCTTCCAACGGAGTCCTGATGTCCTTCATAGAATCCTGGTTATGTTCTATTTGATTCTGCATAGCGTTACACTTTTCTCGTAGCTGATCACATACTTTATGGAATTTCTCGTCTTTACTGTTCACTTCTTCACGTAAATTAATGATGAGGACTTCGTTAGTTTCTCTTTCCTTCTTCAATTTTTCAATTTCCTCATCTTTGGAATCTAACAACTGCTCAGTCTCATGAATCTTCATATTCAACTTTTTCAATTCGCTTTCTAAATGAACGATAATTTCAGAATTTCTGGCTAGCTCTTCTTCGTAATCTTCGATATGCTTCATGTCCTTTTCAAACATTTCTTTCAGTGAGTTAAGCTCATTGCTTTTGTCAGTCAAATCTGATACGAGAGAGTTTAGATGGTTGATGGTGCTTTCATAATGTGATAGTTCTGCTTGTTGATCTTCAATTTTTTCTTGCAAAAGTGTTAGTTGATTATTAGACGAGTTTAGTTCTTCGCTCTTCTCCTGGAGCTCCGATTTATATCCGTTAATTTCCGCCAGTGCGTTCGTAAGTTTCGTTTCTAAGTCGTGAGTTTTCTTCTTCGCATCGCGTAGTTGCTCTTCGATCGAGTCTTTTTCGTGGACTAATTCGGAGTTCGTTTTGACAGCTTCTTTTAATTTCTGGTTTTCTGACAATAACGCTTCGTATTGAAGTTCGAGGTTAGCAAGTTCTTGCTTTAAATCGTCAGACGTGTTTGAAGAAAGCAACTGGAGTTTCAAGTCTTTAATCTCTTGCTTTTGAATTTCAATTAAAGATTTGTACTCCACTATTTCTTCTTGGAGTTTCTTGTTTATGTCTTGAGAAGCATCAGCATGTAGGGGAGCTACTTTTTCCAAATTGATGGTTTCTTCCACAATGTTTCCATGTTTAACTTCCATGTTGCTTTTCAATTCTTCGATTTCCACCTTTAATTTGGCATTTTCGCTTTCTAGTTCTTCAAGTTTGTTATCTAATTTCTCCTTGTCGTTTTGAAGTTGTTCATATGTTTCTGCTAGAATGTCGCGGTTATTTTCAATCTCTTTTATTTTCAATTGTAATTGATTATTGTCTGTTGTTATAGATTCCATTTTCTCCATGACTTCTCGTCTTTCTTCGGTGAAGAGTTCAATTTTTCTCAACAGATCCGACGTTTCTTCTGTTAACTGATTGACACTTTCATTGAGTTCAACATTTTGTTCCAGATGCTCCTCACATTTGCCTGAGTCATCGAGGGTTGTTTCCAGACTCTTCTGGTAAGCTTCCAGTTCGAGTTTCTCTTGTTGAGTGAGTCCGTCAACTATTTCTATGCTTTCGGCTGACGATACTTTTTCTGCACTGAGTTTATCCAGTTTATCGATAAGATCCATGTTTTCTTGGAGGCATTGGTCTAAACGAGCAGAAACGTCTAGTTTTTCGCGCTTTAAATCTTCTATCTTTTCTAAAAGATTCAAATTTTCTTCGGTCAATAGTTGTTTATCTTCTTCCAGTTTTCGTTTTTCAGCTTCTAGGTTGTCTATTCTTTCTTCCAAATGGATATTGTTTATTTCGGAGGTTACTTGAGCATTTTCAAGGACGGACAAATTTTTAAGTTGGTCTTTCAATGTGGCTACCTCTTCTTGATAAGCTTGTATTTCTGAAACGACATTTTTGATTAATTTGTTCTTTCACTATCTTGGTGTACATTTACCTGCTCTTAAGGCAGCAATAAAGGTTTCTTTTTCAGGGTTGACGGAGTCACCTAAAATTAACGTAAAAAAAGAGGAAACGTTTATAAAAGTTTATAATATTGCTATGGAAGTAATATTCTCAGAATGAAAGTTTCAGTTTCAAAAGTAGGGACATGGATTCCAGACCATAAGATGGAATGGTCTTATTCTAAATTTCGTGTCGATTTGCGTTCCCATAGATGGCGGGTCTATTGTTCACGTGATAATACCACGTGTGCATTAAAAAAGTAGCTGTTGACGGATGAACGAAATACGCGGCTTACAACGTACTAGTATCCTTTACATCGATATACGTAATAAGTAAGGTCCGCTCTCATGTACCCAAAACGGTACATTTCCTAGTAATAGTGAACATAGGTAAGTGTCCTAGGCTTATACTCTAGAATCCTTTAACAGGGGTAAAGTTGAAAGAAAATTATGAAATAACTGTTTAACTTTGAAAATAAGACCTCTAAATGGTCAAAAATGACAAGAGGATAAATCATTGAACAAATATGAGCGTTTATAACTTATAAGGAACGTCTTTGAGAAGGGCTTTGTCTTCAGATATGGAAGCAGAGTATATGTAAAGCTGTAGACTGATTAAAAGATTTAGATTAAAGGTGGCGATCTGTTTTTGTGTTGAATGGATGACTTTCAACGTGGGGAAGTCCATCCAGTGACAAAACATTCAGTGTCTAATAAAAACGCGTGATGACCACGAATTAATTTTTTGTTGAGGATGAATTTTCTCTATTTTGAGAAAATCAATCCGCTAGTAAAAGTTGTCAAAGAACTTCAAAAGTTAGGATCGCGATTTCATTTTCTGCATTAGATGGATTAATTTCAGCACGTAACGTGAAAAGAGCCATCTATTGGCAAGATCTTTAACAAGAGAGAATCCACGTGATAGTAAAAGAAAATAGAATCATTTAAAGATATAAGGAAGACAAGAAAGTCTTTGTGATGCAGGATATAGGAAACACAGTTGAAATAAAAACATTAGTACAATTTAGTTGATCATTACAAACCTTTTGTTGATTCTAATTCAGATAGTTGCTGTTTTAGTTTTGCATTTTCAATGTGAAGTTTAACAATTTCGGCATTAACATCGCTGATTTTTTTGAAGTCGTCTAATTTTTTATTTAACTCTTTTAATTTACTTTTATGTTGTGCTTTCACTTTGATCATGTTCTTGTTGTATTCATCTAATTGTTTTTTCAACTTTTTAACTTCATCATCTGTATCAGTTTGTTCAAGGAGCCTAATAGTCTCTTCTTTACTTACAGCCTTTAACTGATCTTCTAGTTCTTTTACCTTATTAAGGCTACTCTCATTTTCAGCTTGTTTCTTTTCAATTTCTTTTTCTAATTCCATCAATTTATTTATCAGAATTTTGTTCTCATCAGTAGCTTCTTCAATTTTGGTTTGAAGATTTTCAACTTGTTTCTGAGAATCTTTCAGTTCTTCTTCTTTGCCAGCTAGAAGCTTTTCAAGTTCAGCTATCTTATTTTGCAATTGAGTATTTTTCTTTCCCTTTTTTGTATTTTGACTTCCAATGCTTGCTGATCCTTGACTTTCAAGTTCTTTTATTTTCTCTTCATTGTTCTTTATTATGTCCTCAAGTCCAACATTCTTAGCACTCAGTTCTTCAATATCATTATTCTTCTCTTTGAGTTGCTTCAAAAGACTCTGCTTTTGATTATTTAGCTGCATTTCAAGAGCAACAAAATTTGCCTGCATGTTTTTCATTTGCTCTTTTGTATCTTCTAGTTCGTCTACTGTCACTTTACTTTTTTTACTCATATTTTCTGACATTAGAGTAATTGCTTTTGTTCTTGCATCAATGACAGAATCCTTTTCTTTCAAGTTTTCCTGCAAGTCAAGAACATTTGCCTCCAGTTTTAATACTTTATTATTCAAATCTGCAATCCTCTTTTCTTTAAGTAGCAAAGCATTGTATAGCTCTTCAGAGCTGGAATTGGAATTGAGATTTTCCACTTTAGGCTCAGCAACTGATAGATTCATTGATGTTTGATGTATAAATTGTTGTGAATCATCCAGCTGGGCTTTTAATTGTATAACCATTTCTTCTAAACCTTTATGATCTTTATCACGTTTTGCTAATTTTGCCCTAAAACAACATTAGAATTATATTTAAGGTATAGTAAAGTAGTTTATCAGTTTATTACTTGTTCTCTTCAACTTTTTGTCGAAGAAGCAATATTTTTTCCTTTGCTTGGATGTTGACTGTACTAGCTCTTCTACTTTCAGTAGGTCCATCTTTATGCTCCTTATCTTGTTTTTGTGATCTCCCTTGCTTGGCTTTTGCTCTCATTCGGTTCAGTGTGTTAGCATATTCCTCCACTTTCTCAGGTGTTACTGTTGTCTGCTCATTTTTGCGAAGCATTTCTTTTAATTGGGAAATGAGAACTTGTTGTTGTTCATATTGATCTTTTAAATCTATAAGTTCTTGAGTTTGGGGAGGACTTTCCATAGAAGATGTTCCTCCACCTTCAGGAATACTGGAATCCATTTCTGAACCCTTCCACATATTGTGCTACCTGCAATTTTGGATGATCATTATCAAGACTATCTTGCTGCTCACTAGTGAGTTATTTACGTTATATTTATAGCAATTTCATATTTTGCATTAACTGACAGACTCTTTTGTATACATAAATACTAGCAGAAACTCCACGTACACAATGCTTAAGTCGTTTATGTGCCGTCAGCTGTCGTTAAATTGTCATTACTATTTTGTTAATCATTTATTAATAAACGTCATCACCAACTTTTGTAAAAGTGTCAAGTCTGCTTTCTCATAATGTGCCTATTTCCAGTATTTTTTAGTTATATTGCGATAAATTAGTTATTAATGTATAGAATACTTTTACAAATTGTTGCAAATTGTGATTTAAATGATTCACATGCAAATAAATCAGCTGATTGAGGCCATATTGTGTTGGCTTGGGTGGCTTGATTTCAACGATCTACGCATGATCTACTACGATCTATCGACGCCATCTTGAGAACTTGGCGCATGCATTTAAATTCAAATGTCAGCTTCTTTCCGTGTTCTCTAGATTCCGTGATAATTAATTATTGTTTTGTATAAATTAAACGAAAAAACGGAATTTATATTATATTAGAATATTTGTAATACTGATTTGAGGTTTTTTATGCGTTTCCAGAAACATGATACATGATACATCCTAATTTAATGTTTTGCTCTAACTGTTGCAACCTATTCCATAAAATTCACTATTTCTACATATTTAAAGTTGCTAAATACAAAGTTCGTTATTGTTTATTGTTGATTATTACTGATAATGTGTTTACTATTAATGGGAAGAAATATTTGCTGTTCTATACATTTTATCTGCATACCTTTCTTTAAATTTAAAGTTGATTAAAATGAATTATTAATAATTGTCAAACAGTAGATTATTGTCTGATTTAGTGTAAGTAAAATGAGAATGTTTGGAATTGGTTTTCCGTTTGCTACTGATAATCAAATTGGAGGCGACACAACATAACCTGCGGATTAGGAAATTAAAAAAGCGTGGATATCAAATGTTTATTTTCTAACTATTGCTTATCAATTCAAAATTGAAGGAAATAAATATACGGACCGAAAACGCAGATTAAAGATATCAAGCAAGCGAAGGTTACGTACGAGCAGTAAGAAATGTCTCAAGCTGATATAATAACCGAAATTAAAAGTGAGGACTTGAAAGATAGTGTTATTGATTTCACTGCAGGATGTTTGGGTAAGCTTTTGACAGCACAAACAGAAACAAATGAATTTATTATGTGAGTGTATATTTTTATTTAGGAGGTGTAGCTTTGGTTTACGTTGGACAGCCTCTAGATACAATAAAAGTAAAAATGCAAACGTATCCTACCCTTTATACAAATATGGTAACTTGTTTCAAAGAGACTTTGATATCGGACGGAGTCGTTCGGGGTTTGTATGCCGGAACCACACCAGCTTTGGTCACCAACGTTACTGAAAATTCCGTTTTATTTCTTTGTTATGGTATCTGCCAGAAGTTTATTCAGCGATTGACCAATGTTGAAGATGTAAAAGACTTGAGTACTCTAGGTAATGCTTCAGCAGGATGCCTAGCTTCATTCTTTTCTTCCCTCGCAATTTGTCCTACCGAATTGGTAAAATGCAAGCTACAGGCGATGCACGAAGAAATTAAGAGACTGGAAGCATTAGGAAAGAAAGTCAGTCCCACCACACCTTCGAAACTTACAGCTAAAATTTTTCGCGAGGAGGGAATCAAAGGATTGTTTAGAGGGTTGATACCGACGCTGGTTCGAGAAATGCCGGGTTATTTCTTCTTCTTCGGTGGTTATGAAGGTGGGTAACTCCTTGTGTTTTTAAAGTGTGATAGAGGAGAAAGTAGGAGAGGAAATTGACCCAGAGTGCTATTAAAAATGAGAATGGGGAAAGGGGTAGTGACAGGGTAGATGAGTGGTAGTGTACAGATAGCAGTTGATTAGTGCAAAGTAAAATAGGGAATGTTAAAAGTGAGTAGTGAGGGAAAACAACAAGGAGATGAATTGAGAGAGTTAACAGAATGGAAGAGTTGGTTGGATACATGAAAGTGACTTTTTGTACGATGGAGGAAAACAAATAGGGTGGGGGGAAGAGGAGAAAGTATTAAAAAAGGTTAGGATGGAAGGAAAAATAGTAAAATGGGTAAGCAGGGGAGAGAAATATTCAATTGGTGAAAGTAGGTGGTAGTGTATTGTGGATGGAGAAAAGTTTGGTTCATCGTTTAGCATTATACAAGGGAATGTTTTTAGTTGCATATTAGTAGTGTTAAGGAAGGCATGTTCATGTACTTACGGTAAAGATGCTGTTGTAGGTACAAGGGAGTTTTTAAGGAGTCCGGAACAGACGAAAGATGACATAGGTCTTCTGAAAACAATGATTGCTGGTTCGGTGGGTGGTTTAGTTTTTTGGACATTATTTTATCCTGTTGACGTAGTGAAATCGCGCATACAAGTGATGAATCAAAACACAGGTTTAATGTTGGCGTTGATGCAAATAGCCAAAACTGAAAGTGTCTTAGCTCTTTACAGTGGACTGACACCCACTTTAGTGAGAACCATTCCGGCCACTGCCGTTTTGTTTGCAACATACGAATATTCCAAGAAGTTTCTACATAATTTATTTTGATTATAATTATAAATTAGAGCATATTATGTAAGTAAGTAGTTACATATTCAGATGATTCGTTGTACAATGTTTTAATATTTTTATAATAAATTACGAAGGCATAAACAATTAAAAATAATTTGTTTTATTATTTCCATCATAATCAATCGCACTTATACATCATTAACATTAAACACTCATAAACATTTTGTAGCAATACAGCAACAAGAACAATAAATACATAAATAAATAATATAATAGTAATACGATTTTTAATACTGATGTTTACTTTTAAATAACTCCAGACCATTGCAAAGGGACTGTTCTTATCACAGACTGTTGTAATCACTGAAAGGTCGAGATGCTTGCTTCATCAATCGACTAATCAGGATGCTGTTATGGGGAGATTCCTATGAAAAACTAACGGTTAAAATACAATAGGGAAATATTTGTAACAATTATAGAAATGGAAGAATGGAGATACAGTGAAATACGGAATTCTCTTCTGGATTTCTTTCCAGATTCTTATTTAGGGTGTCTCAAGGAAGGAATTGTGCCAAGTGAACGCTGAGAAGTAGACTTTAAGGGTTATTATCTGAACACTGCTTTCTGAGACACCCTTAATATCATATTCAATTAAACATCTTTTCATTCATATTTAGGGTGTCCCACGGAAGGAATTGTGCCAAGTGAACGCTGAGAAGTAGACTTTAAGGGTTATTATCTGAAACACTAGTTTCTGAGACACCCTCATATTCAATTAAACATCTTCGATATTCCTGTGACAAAATTTATCAAAATCAAAATTGACTTTCATTTGGGTATTAGCAGTACGACGAAACTTTTTTACATTCCGCGGTATTTGTGAAATTTATTATCAAGATGTGCTTGAATAATAGAAGTGACAACAACATGAAAATGCAAACGGTTATTTCGCATAATGAATATAAATCGCTTACTTTATTCGCACCACCACTCTGAATAACGGTGTCAATGTTGGGTGAAAAGAGAGCGTGGTTTGGCCGGTACCTACAAAAATAAAAACATAAACAAATGATTAATCAAAACAGTTTCAAATATGGTAAAGATTCTCTTACATTTTGTGCCAATTTTCCTTTAGGGATCGCTTAGCGGCCACCCCTCGGCAAATTGGGGCATACACGTACTTTCTACAACAAAAAAATTAAATATGTAGTAAGTATAAGCATTTAAATTGTATTATACGTATGTGAAAACCAAATCAATTGATCTCTAGAAGTAAAAGTATTCCATAAATTGAAACGTGTGACCGTTAAATTGTATTAGACACTTATTAAAAAAGAAATAATAATTGAGCAGCCATTACACATTTTTACTTGCAAAAGTTTATTGTGAAAGCCTGCCCATCTTTATCAAAGTTTATATTTATATATTTTCAAATTGTTTACGTACTTGCAATTAACTTTTTTTGCCCCCACTGTCGCAAACAAAACGCATGTGAAGAAGATGGAGAAAATTAAAAATTTATTAGATACAAGCTGTTGGTGGACCATTGTTCGAATCTGCAACAATGTTTTAATAAAAATAATGAGAAATTCGACTTTTAGTTCCAGATGCTATTCCAAACAACTAGACAAACTTTACCATTTTCTGATGTTTCGTGAAAAGGGTAAAGTTTCATCCTTTAAATAGAAATCAAACCAATTTTCTTTTAAACAATTCAACTTCTGTTTTACGCAAAATCCTTACCATTTGATTTAAATTGTAAAAGCACTTACTACTATCACTTGGTAAGAAGGTAACACGTAAACAGTAAAAAGTTCCAAATCTGTTCTCCTTATAAAGGACTGCTTCATAGTCTTGCGCGTTGCCGTAATTTCATTGAGGAATTAGATGGTAAATTTGCGATTAACACGAATAATAAAGCGCTATAATAACTGTCGTTAATGGTAAAATAAATATCAGAAGACAATTCGCACTGGCGACGAGTGAAATTGAAGATTTGTTGTTTAGAAGATCCGTACGGTATATTTTCGTTCATTCATTTCTTGAGACGATATTTCTTAATGTCAAACATTTATTAAATAGTCTCCGTAATGCTTCTTATCATTCTAACGTAATAAACAAAAATGATTAGATTTATTTGCCATTAGTGTGCATTTTTTTATAACACGTGTTTACTAAAAACTTTACTTTTTCCTTGTCTATTGCACCTGAAAGGAAACATTATGACCAACGTGTTTTATCAGATTTTTTATTTCTTGTAATTGTTGCGAAAACTTTATAAAGTTTTGGTATTATGTATTAAGTAATCCTATCGTTTGTTTAATGACCTTTAGTTGTATTATTATATACAATAACGTTATCAAATTTCTTAGTTACCTATTTCCTCTTTTCCAGTTACCATCACTTCAAGGCAGATGTAGAAGAAAGTAATAAACATTAAATGGTAAAAGGTAAGTATAAAAATCTGATGCAACATTGCTACCGATTGTAATGTTGTTCTTATAGTTATATTACGAAATGATTTTTCCGTTTAATGACCTTAATAACTAAGACTTCCATTTATTCTACTTTCATGTATGTATAATCGTGTTTAAATTGCAAGTCATTGCCCATTTTTAAACTTGTACCTAAAGAAATACTTTCTGTAAGTATTGTCCGCAACACAAAATACTTATTTATTTATTAATTAGAGAAGCGATCGCAGTATGTTCAATAGGTATATTAATTTCTTTTAATTACTTTCAAAAATATTGCGTACGTACTGTGAGCGTCAACAAATTCTTAAAAATAAGCACCTATGTTTAAAATTAGGGAAATCCTTATCGTTTATGTATGTATTACGTATTACATTTATCAAGTACAATTAATACATCATAATATTAATTGTAAAATCTTAGTAAGCAGAGTAATTAAAACAAAAGCATGTGAAATATTAATAACAATGGAACAGTGCCTTTAGTTGTAGCTGTTTGTACTTCATAGATTTAGTACGACATTTTCGGAAATTCACAGTTTGGTTTTCTTATTTAAAATACTTGGAATCAAAGCTAATTTTAATTTTATTTTTTTTTTGAAACGGTCTCATTTGATTTTTGAATTCTGCTTTTGACTTGAAGTGTACGTGCGCACAACTCAAACAGCAGTCATACGAGTTGAATGTTGGACGTCAGGATTTGTTATTGAATTTTTGTTAAGAAGAAAGAGTTGAACAAAACTTGCAATAGTCTACATTGAAATACATTCAAGGTAAGTAGATTTTATCTACCATTTTGTTATGCTATATCTAATGTAGATAGAATGATTGATGGATTCCTTTGCTTTAACATCGAATTTTTATTTTATAACCTCAACCTCATTGTTTTTTTATACAGATGCCCAACATCAAACTTCAATCTTCCGATGGAGAAACGTTCGAAATCGACGTAGAAATTGCAAAATGCTCTGTGACTATCAAAACAATGTTGGAAGACCTTGGAATGGATGAAGATGAAGAAGAAGTAGTTCCACTGCCAAATGTGAATTCTGCCATTTTGAAGAAGGTCATTCAATGGGCCACTTATCATAAGGATGATCCTCCGCCACCTGAAGATGACGAAAATAAAGAAAAACGTACCGATGATATTTCGTCATGGGATGCAGATTTTCTTAAAGTGGACCAAGGCACCTTATTCGAACTTATCTTAGCAGCTAATTATCTTGATATAAAGGGTTTATTGGATGTTACATGCAAGACTGTTGCTAATATGATAAAAGGAAAAACTCCCGAAGAAATACGAAAAACATTCAACATAAAAAATGATTTTACTGCTTCAGAAGAAGAACAAGTTCGCAAAGAAAATGAGTGGTGTGAAGAAAAATAATGACTCTTTGTTTATCATATTATTTAACTGAAGTGCATAAATTTTCTAAATTTGACTGAGTCCAGTATATGATTTTATTTATGGCAATTATATTAATATTACCTTTGTAAAAAATAACCAATATAATGTTTGATTTACTTACAAATTAAATGAATAAAAACTGTATTAATATTAATTGTATTGTTAATGCTCTATTGATTAATGATTTAGTAGTTTTGTCAGTTAAATTACAAAGTTAAAATTTAGTTTATACTGAATTAGGTAAAGTTTGTAACAAAAAAAAGTAAAATAAAAATCACAATTTTGTGGTAACTTAATGTTTTTTATGACAATAGCACATGCAGGATCCAGATCCCAAAGATGAATCAATGATCTTTAAAATTAATAAAATGATATATTTAATGAATTAGGTAAGCAAATATATTGATCTTTGATCATAAGATGCATTTTAAAAATTAACAATTTTCATACAAAATGCAATATATTTAAAAAAAGTATGTTTATTAATTGCTATCTTAAAAAGGAACTTTACAATTTAATGGCGTCAAATTCAATTTTTACAATTTACATACAATTGAACTGTTATAAAATTCATATAATTCGCAACAGAGTGAACACCACAGCAACACTTACAGGTATAAAAATAATAAAGAAGCACATGATTTTAAGGCGTACAGAAAAAATGTGTAAAAGGGCGTAATAAATGATTCTAAATAATTCTCGGGTATTTTTTTCTAGTAGATGCCGTGTGGATTTTTTTTCCAAAGATCGTTGTCTCCGTAACTTGATGGGGATCTTGAACACGAACCCGAATTTCCACAAAGCGTAATTCCAAAAAAAGCCCCATACAATAACAAGAGCCACGTTAAAAATACCAATAATACTAAAGTTAATAAATACCGACGGTATTTATGAAGTCTTTTCTTCCACGAATTGTTCCTAAAAAAGGTTCAGGTAATCTACTAAAAATCATTCATTAGAAATTTTAAAAGGAATTAAAAAATTTTAATCGATACCTACGATCTTATACTTTGGATTTCTTCATTAAATTTTTCATCTGCATGCGTTATTTGACATTTAACTGCTTTTATAATGGGGCACTTGAAATGCATTAGTCTTACTCTGAACGCATTGCTGAAATCAAAATGGCCATTTTATGGTACCTTCTAGTTAAAAATAATATTTGCTGTTATTTATTCATTTCAATTTAAACAAGTATGAGTGTATATGAAGAACGTATTAACATAACAGTATGTTTCCTTAGAGGAATCCATTTAAGTGTGAATGGTACAGAAGTAATGGCGTCTTTGCATAATTGTCCCTTTGAAGGAAATGTCAAATGGAATGTAAAAGACAATGGTGTCACAACATTTCGTAATCACCAATTATGCAAATTATGCGGTTCAATTCGACGTGTTACTTCAAATTTATAGATTCAACATTATCTTTACATTTAATATAAAAGAGGTATATCGTTACCCGTCTAGTAAGGCCATCGAGTTAGAAGTTCTCGCCCCTGCAGAACTTTGTGGATCATCTCGTGCAACATCTTTCATATTTGTTGTGGTCATTCAGTAATTTGGTCTTGTCATTTTGTCACATCGAAAAACGTACTTTTACACCTTCATTGAACACTTAACAAAATTTTATTCCATTCAAATTTTAATGGTCTTGCTGTACTGGTCAACTTTTAAAGCAAAAATTTCGGGAAAATAACCTACATTGGAATTTTCAAACCAAGGCTTTCTATTTTTTTTATTTCGTGTTGTCATTGCATTTCTTTTGAAAATGTTACTAGATGTTTGAAGGAAAAGACATTCGATAAATCGTAAAAAGCATATTACGTTGAAATTAAACAATTAATATATTTATTTAAAGTACAATTGCACTTATTGTTCAAAAAGTACGATTATTGGCGACTTTTTTTATATAACATAATCATGGTGACTTTACAAGTAAGCGTTACTGTAGGTAAATATAACAAACAATAAATTTTTGTTTAATAATTGAAATTATCGGTTGGTGACAATAAATATTTATCACTGAAATAGGAAACAACATTCCTTGTTTTTAAGGCGTAAATACGGCACTTTCTTTAACAAAAGTATTGTATTTGCTTATTTCTGCAATTATTATTTTGTAACAAATTGTATTTGGATTTATAGTTAGTACAAGTACATATAAGTACCTATTCACATTATACATTACATATCTCGATCACCCTGTATATATTAATTTGTTTTTAATAAAATAATGGTGTACCAATGAGGAACCCCTAATTGTTAATTTATTCTTGCCGTGCAGAATGGGTCCTGATTTTAATGGTGACGTTCAATCCTTTTGGTACAATTTATTACCCACATGTTCTGCGCGTCACCATAGAGATAATAGAAGAGTAGGCAAGTTCCATGCAACTCTGTACTCTGACTGAGATATAAAATGAAAAATAATGGAACCCTTTCTCCCCCTGTTCCTATTTAATGATGTTTCTGATTGACCGGCACAGTTCACTATCAGTGTGCATGAAAACAGCTACATATGAGGTCCCTTTATTTTTCGTTTCTTTCTTTTCCCGATGAGCTTGCCCACCCTAATTCTATTAACTCTATGTGCGTCACTAATTCGAAATCCAACGAATACGTTAATCAGAATCTGCCTGATGATGCAGATATAACAATAAAAAACAACAAATTGATCTAGTCAATTATTAACAACTTTTTTAACATTTAAACAATTTCTCCATTTGAATCGTCCGATTCTGGATCAATTTTTTCATTTTTGATGAAAACTAGCTGCGCCGAGAAGGGATTTTCCACACTTTTATCCGAAAAATTTTTATTCATATGTTCGGGATGCTTATTGCGGATGTGTTTATATAGTTCTTTATTAATACGAAATCGTTTTCCACAGGTACTACATCCGAAGGGCTGTTCGCCAGTGTGCACCCTGAGATGTTCCTTTGCGGTGGTACTGTGGGCAAATTTGCGATCGCACATGGGACAAGAGTAAGGTTTTTCTCCTGTGTGTATTCTCATGTGTCTATTGAGGTTTTCCAATGACAAGAAGGCTCTTTGGCATGTTTCACATACATGTGGTTTTTCTCCCGTATGCGTTTTCATGTGTCGTTTGAGGTTCTGTGAATTTGGGAATCCCCTCATACACAACTCACATATATATGGTTTGATACCTGCATGTGAGTTGAGGTGTCTTCTGAGATGACTGGATGAAGCAAAAGCTTTGTCACACATGTGGCACTTGAATGGACGAATGTGAGTTTTCTTGTGAGTTCTCATGTGGTTGGTGAGGGTAGGATAATCCTTGAATTCCTTTTCACATATCTTGCACATAAAAGGATTGGTACTTTCGGAATGACGGGTCATGTGATTCAGGAGCTGTTTAGAACTCCAGAATGATTTGTAGCATATCGGACAGGGTAATACTTTCTTTTTAGCATCCCTATCATGGGATTTAATGTGTTTTCTTAATCTTGCCTTGGTCTTGAAGGAACTCTCACAATGGTCACAAACAAAAGGACGGTCAAGGGAGTGGGTTTTTAGATGGTCCTCTAAATGGGCAAATTGGGTAAACTTTCTATTGCACACATCACATTCAAAGCGTTTTTCTCCTGTGTGAGTACGGATATGCTTGTTCAGGTTACCATTGATTGAAAAACGTTTCCTACAGAATCTACATTGGTAAGGCTTTTCACCTGTGTGCTTTCTGGTATGGACATTTAATTGTGTCATATCCCTAAAAGCTTTACCACATGCACAGCAATCAAAAGATCTTTCAAGGGCCGGTTTTTTCTTATGGGAATCCAGGCAATTTTCATCTGGAAATTTCACTTTGCACACTCTACAAGCCAAAGAATCTAGTTCTTCTTTTTCATTCTCATTTTCACTTTCAGTTTCATTGTCTATCACATGTCCAATGGCATTTTCAAAACTGTTACTAGAATTGTTCATATTTTGAATTTCTAAGTAATCACTATCAGAGGTATTATTTTTACGACGCTCTGACTCATTTTTGACACTGTTCTCAAAAAAGTCTTCACTAGAATTGCTGTCTGTATGGAAAGTACTGGCATTGTTTGAACTGCTTTCAGAAGTTCCACTGGATGAGTCTTCATCTTCTGAAATGGATTCTTTCTTCACATTAATTTCTCCGAAATTGTTTTTAAATTCCTTATCATCAGCTTCTTCTTGCTTCACGTTTACATTTACATGAACAAAATTGAAAGATCCACCTGATGATCCCTCATTCTTAACCTCCTCAAAAGGCTTGGTTTCCACTTCCATATTAGAAAAATGTTTTGAAACGTTATTGTAGGGTATTTCTTTGATTTCTAATTTGTAATAGATATTTATAACAGTACTCTAGTAGTTAAGGCCATTTATTTGACGTTTCAGAAACTTGCTACCACTCATTTGTCAGTTTGTCAGTCACTCTTTTCCATTTTTCCTATCCTTTTTTCTCGACATCACTTGACATGTTCCTAAGTTAATATCATAATAACGATGAAATACTATTCACGTGGCTAGTCAAGGTACTGATACTCTTGGATACTCTACTAACCATTTTATTATTATTATTATTAGTGGCGGCAACATTCACAGCACGTGTGGACAGCGTGTTGCATAATGAGAAACATTAGTTTGATCAAATTCTAACTAATCCTAAAATTTTCTTTGGAAAACGATGATAAAACGCAATAAAACCACATTAGAATATGTAAAATAAGAAAAACGATAAAAATTATATTTATCGGATAACTGAGTATTACCCATTTAAATGCTCTGATCGAGGAACATGAGAAATCCCAAAAAATCAAATTTGTTGTCATAGTGGGTACCTACAAATATTTTTGTTTTGGTTTAGATTAATTAAGTTTCGGCTGGTCATTTAATAGTAGAAAAGGGTAATTTTATCAGACTGGCTTTGAGGAACTGTTAGGGTTTGCAAATTGGACAACTTTAATAATCTCCTCAGGTGAACAATTTTGATCATCCATTGTCCATGGATTATCCTAAATCCTTATGATCATTATCGCAAGTTCATACACATAGCAGACGTGAATGGAACAATGGGTATGGAATGGGAAATGGTAGAAGCAAGAAGGGCCCTCTCCACCTATCACGTCTGATCGACGATGGAAGCTCACGAAGTAGAATCGTATATTTTCGCCCATATCATAAAACGTCATTTTAAGTCAGTCGAGTTCGGACCGTCGTGTTAAGGAATGTGTTTTTTATTAATTGATGTATTGTTTTGACGACTATTAGGTGTTAATCAGTTAGTAAGTTAGAATTTTTAATTTTTGGAGAACTACACGGTTTTATGTTTTTAATTGTGGTGTTAAACTACTGAACGGCTTTAAAGTGACGTTGTTTTGTGTGCCTCGACAAAAACGGTCATCTCAGAGTGATAGCGTGAGTATTTCTTTTTTACAAGTGTGCTGGTGTTTGGATTGATGTTTGCTGGTTGTTTTAAAAGGAAACGTGCGTTTCGTTGTTAGTTTATTAATCTTTTTAAAATCACCTGGTAAAACTTAAAGGTACGGAAAGTGTTGTTTTCAGCATCCATTTTTATAAATAACGGTACGAAATGAGTAACGCTGAATGAGTATAATAAAATTAACGAAACATGTCGCTGAAACAGGTCATGAAATTGTTCTTTTGGTTACGATAAAGTACAATCATTGAACCAATTTTGAATAGCTTTAGATGTTCTTGACTTTTAAATACTTATTACCTATCCTAAGTTTAATACAAAGACGTTGTTGAAAGAAAAGGGGGAAAGGGTGCCCAATTTGTATGATCAAAAACATTACGTCTCTTTGATCTTCCTGGAGTTACCTACTTCTCTGTTTGTTCCTTTGTGCTTAGAGAAAACCGTTAATTTTATTAGTTTGTCTGTTGACATCTTAAATCATAAAAGAATATTATTTTGAGGATACAGACTATCGAATTGACGTTATGCGGTACCTACCCAGGTAGTAGTTTTGGTAATGCGCACTTTAATTTATTTTACGAGGTCATCGAACTTTTTCACACTCCGTCCCCATATCATGTTTGTGCGTTTCTGGGTCAACTTTCTTGGTGGGCGTTGTTTTCCCTTTTCGATAAAGTTTGTAAATCGTGTGAAGGAAGTAGAAAATTTGAGTTACTGTTTTCATCCGATAAGGATTAGCATTTCATTAAACGGGGACTCACTAATAAAAAGATTTTGTGGAATATGAATATTTTTGACGAAACCATCAAACTTGCAAAATGTTGGAAATGAGTTAAATTCCAGTCTTGATGCCTACTAACGATATGGGCACTTGATTACACATATTTTTGTCGGGGACTGCCGGATCCGTAACAAATCTATCTTCATCCCGATTCTTTCCAGAAGATGCTATACATGTACATACACATTTGTCTTCTTGTAACCTACATAAGGCACCTACTTCCAGAGTTTTCTTATTGTTACTGAATGATGAACCGTCAGGATACTATCGGTTATTTAGTATGCGCTATTTAATTAACATGATCGTAATAAGATATAAATATGAGTGCCCATTCCTATCCCTACGTGTTCTATATTTGACCTGATATTAAGAAAAATACGGCAACATTGCAGCTCTGATGGTACCTTTAGCTAACCACGACTGTATGACCGCAGTTAACTTTTAAATCTACATATAGTTTCCCTTGTGTCTTGCTTCACAACCTACTGTTTCGAGATCATGGTCAACGTGAGTTATGGAACAAGAATCAGCCTGCAGCGTTGTGACAAAGCTGCAGTACTTTTAAAAGTGGCAGGTTCGGTTTTTTGACGTGATGTCTTCTCGTCTTCACTTCACTCTTCATTTTTGTGTTACTACTTATTCAGCATTTGAATTGGCGTGAAGGAAATGACGCTTACAATAGCAGCAACTGTGGTGATGTATGGAGTTTGTTGCCGATTTCTAAAATTCCGGTTTTACTATTCATGAAGAGTATGAACCTACAGTGGATGTTTTCACGTTCTCGTATCTCTAACACCTATTGCACATGAATGTGATAACATTTCTGATGAATTTTTTTTAATACTTGAAGTTGTATAAAATGAGATGGTTCTAAGTAATAATATCGTCTTGGTTTTTCGATTTTAGTTTTAAATTTAGGGAAGACAATATAATTATATGGTGTATGGACTTTGCTACTTTTCTTATTTCATTAACCTTTTATCAGTTAGTTTTAATCCTCTAATCTTAAGTGTCGTAGTACTAAACTCTATCCCTGCATCGTTCTTAGCGTTGTTCCTTAGTCTTCTGTAGTAAGAACTGTATTCAATATCCATTTTGTTGTCCTCTCTTCCAATTCTTCTTAGACCCTTTCAGTTGATCACAATGACAAGGCGTCCAGAACCTCTATAAGTTTCTAATCCCTCTTGGTCTCATAACTACGAAAGCATATCTTTTCAATCCTTCAAAAGTTTAAAGATGTGTAGTTTATGTAAGTAGTGAGCTGGTAATGGTCAATATCTATCTTGTTGTACTCATTTTCTGTTCTCCTTGTTCCGTTATCCACATCAGAAAGTCTTCTGCTGTTCTGATTCGGGTTAAAGACCGTCGTGTGTTGGAGTTGCTTCCTAACGTTTCGCTAGCACGAGTGGCGAGCTTCCTCAGAGGTCTTTCCATCTCCGATGCTGGATGCGGACTGCACTCATGCTAGCGAAACGTTAGGAAGCAACTCCTTTTTTTTATTTAGATGATTCTCGAGGAGGGGAAATCTTAAAAAGACACCCCCTGAAGGGAGGTAGTGTAGGATTTTTACCGACTAAAACTCCTCCTCGAGCGGGGAGGTAAACCCTGAGGGTTGCTCATCCCCGGGAAGAAAATGGAAGGTTGGGATTGGGAAGAGGATTGATATGGGAAAATGGTTAAGTTTGGGTGTGGAGAGGGAAACCGTCGAAATGTGGTGGTCTACCTCTGAAGTTATATGTGAACACTCGCTAAAAAGCTAAAAAGCGAAGAGGAAGCAACTCCAACACACGACAGCCTTTAGATTCGAATGAGAACAGCATCCGTACATATTAAATATATTTATATGTTCCTCTTAGCAAAATTGGCAAGTTATCCCGAATCTCGAGAAATCTAGTTCCCATTAACCCCTTAACATCAAAGCCAAATCTTCTTTTCTCTACTTTAGTTTAAAATTGTGACAGATATACTAGTAGTTTGGTCAGGATTGTGTTATCTGCATACTTGCTCACATCTGATGTTGTATTCCTTCGCTTTCATTGAGCATCGTGTGGGGTCTTATTATATTCCTTAAAATGTTCAAAGAGCCTTATACATGAGCTTCAGCATGTAAAGAGTAAACTTGTAATTGATTCAGAATATATCAAACATTAGGGGGTTTGAATTTTTAATTTTTGTTATATTTATTTATTAGTTGGCTGTTTATGTACAGACCATAATTTCTTTTTCAGAATAATGTCGAAATCCTGCGCATGTCAGTAACTTGTGTAAAGTTACATGTTACTCTTTGACAGCTGTTGCGGTTTGTTATTATGTTGCAATTTTGCAGGTTTCATAATGGTATCGAAAACAATATGAAAAGCCACCGAAAACTGCGTAGTTACAGTTTGTACATAGCAAGTTGGCATGATTTTAGTTAGAACTTGCTGCATGCTAAACTGAATCATTAGAATGATTGGTAGACTCAGTACTTAGATTTGTTATTGGAAGTAATGAACGTATAATTTTACTTTTATTCGAAAGCAATTAGTTAGTTTCTGAAATGAGTAACTTTTAGAGATTTTTGGACCTCTTCTTTGTAGAATCCTAGTATTTGTTTTTCTGAAGCAACAACTGCCTCTTTATACTGCACGAGTCGTACAATGTATTTCTACAAGTATATGCATGGGACCATGACAAGAGATTAGTTTTCTGTCTTGTGGAAAGTTGTTCGCGTTAATACATTAGGGTAATGTCTTATTCGTAGAACAAACAATAGTATGATGGTTTCTACTATACGCTTGGAAACATATGTAAAGCTACATTAAGGCCTAATTCGTTTCTTTGTGTTCCACTTGCCTGCTCTTCGTAAAATTATACTTATCTGGCTAAGTAACGCTTACGAGTTAAATAAAAACGAGCAGCCATTCTCTTACAAATTGGAGCAGTTACCTAGTATCACATAGCAGTACAGTACTTAGTGACTTTTCTTTAATATACTTTATTCAGTGTCTAAATAGGTTGGTTCATTTTTCGACAGTTTTTAATTCTAGCGGCGTTGTGTTCCTGCTGGACATGAATTGGTAGACGCAAATCTTGATCGGAAGTTAAGAAGGGTCCTTCTTGTAAGGACTACAGAAATTACTCCATAAACGGTATTACGTTGAAAAAGGGTCGATCTTGGATAGGAAACTATGTTCTTCGATGCCATTTTGAATTTTCTGCTTCCGCCCAAGATTTGCGCCAAGGATTCATAAAAAGGTCATTATAGAGAAAAGCGAACCACACTAAAATGTATAAAGACCCTACAAGAAATTTTTTTCCTCCTTCAACATCTACCTTGAATCACATAATCCTTTTTGCACCTTTTGTTACCTTAATGAAGGATGAAGAAGACT